TTATAATATTGTGACAATAACTTTAAGTAACTAAATTTAAATTAAAACAAACATCACTTTTATTTACAGATGATTAGAGATACTTTAAAGTTTAACATATTAGGTTATCACTGAATTTGATAAAACAGAGGAATTGTTATTAGGTATATATATAAAATTATTATTACTACAATAAGTTAAATAAATATTACATTTTAATATATATAAATTGGATGGATTATTGATGCAAGTTTTTAATCATATTGGCACTTTGAAATGCGATCTAAAGTCCTATAGACTGATAGGCACTACCAGTTAATTAATAGCTAGTAGATTTGAGATACAAGTAATAATATATTATGGTAGTTAGTAGTTTTCTAGTAATAATTTTAGTGCACAGAATAATGTGCTCAGGTCATACATATAGATAAAATAAAGTACCAAATATTGCTACGTTACAAATCTTAAGACTATCAATTCTATCTTAAGTTCCCAGTAGGTACTACAAATTATATCTAATTCTGGACAACTGATGCTGTATTCCCATGCTCTGATTTCGATGATTTGAATAACCAATCGATATTAAATTTAAATATAATAAATAGACAAGACACGCGAGTAGATATCGACATGTTGCTTCCAAAACGTTATTCTGGAAACCTCAACAACATATGGTTGTAGCAGACGCCAACACAACTGTCGCGTTCACCATCCCTCTCTGATGAATGAGGAGTTACACTGATAAGAGAGGGATAGAATCTTCATTAGTCGGTAGTACTATTTGAATGTCGAATTGCAAAAAAGGCGTATTGTTTGTGCGCGTGCGCACGGGACACGTGCAGGCTTTGACGAACACACGAAGGTAATTCGTAGTTTCAACAGGATATTGGAAGCGATAGACTTTTTTGACGGCATATGGATTATTGTCTTATTATATATGTACAGGATATGGATGAGAAAATGGATTGAGGGTTTGAACTTTCATGATGATACAACAGTTGATTAATTTTCTGCAAATTATTCATAGCCTATGCTTAGATTTTTACGCAAAATCTACTTCTGTTCTATTTTATAAAAAAGAATTATTGCAGGAAAGTTAATACCGTTGGGAATCAAAAATTCGTAAACATAATATTCTGTTTTGGATGTTACCAATATTTAAAGAGATTACATTCAGAACATGTAGAATAAATGCTATCACTTGTAGACATAAAGTTTTATTTTTTGGGACATTTTCTTATATGATGGTTCTAAGAGCACACAGTTAAGCTTTTAGGTATTTTTATCTTAACCTACCATAGTATTATTGGAAAGGATGGAATTTCATTACTTTTTTATTCCTAAATTTAGCGTTTAAATATTAAGGATTACACTGAGCCAAATGTCGCTAGAGAGCATCACCTACTAGATCCTTCCCCTAACTAATATAAAAAGTAAATTTTCAGTTTTACTTTATTATTGATAATAATAAAATTTTATTTTTATAGAATACTTTAAATGACTTAGACTACAAAGACTGAACTAGCATTTTTAAACTCATTTCTTAACTTTCTCACATATTAAAAGATCATCAACTAGGTAAAAATTTTTATGTGATTTCCTAGAAAAGGTTCTATTAAGGGACAGTTAAAAGCAGTCATCAGAGTGGAGGCTGTTTAACTAAATAAAGTTAATTTCCATAAATCGAAGCGCGAACTAAATATAGTGGATTAAACTGGCGGTCAGAAATTAGAAAGAACCCTTTAGAAGAAAGGGATTGGGTTAAACTGGATACATCTATTAAATTATAAATATATTTTTAAATATTTCGGTTTATTAAATTATTTACCTATTTAAAGGACCAAAAAGAACAATATGTATTTTAAGAATACATTCTTATCATACAAAAACATTTTTTTTTAAATCTTTTTAGTAATGTACCTACTAGTTAGGTAAAATTCAATTTTTTTGATAGTTGAAATTTATATTTAATATATTTTTAATATTATCAAAATGGGTTTATCCACAAAACATAAACGTTGGACATAAAACCGATGAAGTCATTTGGGGCAGACTTCCATGTTTGTTTAGAATTAAATATTATAATGGGGGATAAACGATCGTCGGTGAATAAAGGGTTCGCTTTGACTTCACTTAAAATAGCATAAGGTTTTTTAGCTTTGACAAATATTTGGTTTTAACTATACTTAAAAAACATACCTACTATCAACAAAAATTAAATTAATATAGTATTTATTAGTATTTTTTTTTATAAGCATATAAATAAGTAATATATAAAAACTCGTTTGATTACAACATTTATAAAAGTACTAGCTTTCCGCCCGCAGCTACGCCCGCGTGGAGTTCGGTTATATCGAGTTTCCAAGAGAACCTTTCCAAATTCTGGTATAAAAACTGTCCTATGTTCTTTCTCAAGGTCAACTCTATCTCTGTACCAAATTTCATTAAAATCCGTTCAGTGGTTTAGGCGTTAAAGCGTAACAGACAGACAGACATACAGACGGACAGAGTTACTTTCGCATTTATAATATTAGTAGGGATAACAAAATTTCACGAGCAGTGTTATCTATACATACATACATTTTTACTCTTACTATGTATTGTTCTCACTAAAATATTATTATGGTTTATAATATTATGGTTCTAATATCTATCGATTTATTAAAAAAATAAATAATAATTATCAAATGTCAAACTTATATGTCATCAATGACATTGACAGATATGGAAGTGCGAAATTAGAAAAACAGTTTGCAACACCATAAATTCCTCGCAGTAGCGATGTCCCGCGGCGTCGGCTACTACCGACAACCTGCTTTATACAAATTGAAACTGATTGATTAAAAAAATATACACTTTCGATGGATCTTCGATTTTGCACGCAGAAAAAAAATTGCCTTGATAGACGTTTCCAATTGTGTGTTGACTCCAAATCAAATTGTTATAATGTCAAGAAAACAATAGAACATAGATTTTAAGAAACTAAAACTTATTTCAGTCATTATTATCTTGACAAAGCTATAAGACATAATTTTTAATACTTTTCATAACTACAGCCTCCTTATAAAAGTCAAGCGTTGCCAAATACTAAAATGAATCCTTATTATTGTTGAAATATATTTAATAACTAAACTCATTGATTAGAAATAAGTGAGGATCAATATGATAATTATCGTAGTATTTAAAGCTAGTATAAATATATATTACACTTGTTCTCAAATAAATTTAAAAATACGTGAAAACGCTAATATGTCATCATCATCATTACAATCAGCACTTCACAACAGGATGTTCTGATTAAGTCATCAACTTATAATCATTGTAAACTACAAAGAAAATCTCTGATTCCAGTCATTTTATGTCATTCATCTACTTAAGATTTGTTTACTGCATATTTTTTGCGTAAATCATGGATACAACGAAAAAAAATTTATGTTTGTGGTAAATATACTAAAATACTCAATAATAATGTACGAACTGACTAGATTTTTTTTTACAAAGATGCAATATGTCTTTGTTAACAAGATCGTGTAATCAAGATACGACTTATAAAAAATATGGCTAACAGATTTGTAATTGCTTGCAATACTTTCAATGATATATCTAATATCAGAACACAATTTCAAGTTATTTCTGGTTTTGGTCTAGTTATAATCGACTAATTATATTTTTGTATCAATCGGTAATAAAACCTTTTTTCACATCGCCCGCGAATAATGTAACGGCGGGACGTCTGCGTTTCGAATTCGAATAGTTTTTAACAATGGCGTCCAGCGGTTCGCGCCTTTTTACACAGACCACACAAAGAATGACACAATGAACAGAAAAATAATAACAAAAAAATATATAACTTTCACAAATTCCGCCACGGACTACCGTGTTAACAAATTAATTATATTAATTTAATTATCTAGCAAACTAATTGGATTTTATCAACAAAACTTCTTTAAAGGAATTTGCGTTAAAAAAGAATATGAACATTGACATTGACAAGTCAAAAATCCGAAATTTTTAATGGAGATGTAAGTATACGTAAATAAAAATTAATCTAGCCATGTCGATGAAATGCGGCATGAGCTAGGAAAAAAAACGTTAGCCATTCTGATCTGTGGTCACTGAAATAATTTGGTTTAAACAAGCAAATGGGTTAAACAAATATACCTTGGAACTTGGAGTCAGTTTGGTATTGAGTTGTTTTGACATACTTTATTAAAATGGATATCGCCAGAGAAGTTGGTGATGCTTCTCTAGAAACTTCTCAAAGGGATTCCTTGAACCAGACAGCCCAGGATTCAACGGAAATCGCACAACCAGAGGTTATTATTGTTACGTAAATATACAAGATAGATCATTGTGAACTTTATAAGATAACAAAACAAACATTAAATCACTCATAGTAATATTAATATTCTCCCGCAATTTCTCTGCTAGTAGGCTTAAAGAGAAATATTATAAGTCAAAACAATGTACATGATAACCGACAGTCAGCGACATCTATTGTATGTGTTTCGTAACTTCAAACCTTATAGAAATGTAATGCCTTTATCCTAAGGCGACTGTAAACTAACGGATAAATTACAGCATAAGACAAATATTATTTTAATTCTAATATTTTAATATCTACGCTATTTTAATTAAAAAAACCTTAGGCAGTTTTTGAGCGAATGAGTTAAAAACATCCCCATATCTATTATAATCAATTAATAGGATAACTGAACGGTCTTGGAAAACTTCAACAACTTCTTTGCTATATTTTCTAAGTATATTATGTTTGAGGTACATTTTTAATCTTCATTCTTTATATTTAGGGATCCTTCGAGTAATGTCCTGTTAAATGGCTGAAGCCAGTATTTATAGTTTTCAAATACAGGTTGATACTTAAATATTGCCATTAAAAAAATACTTCATACAAAACAGTATTATAATTAATTATAATTAGTCATATATATTCTAAGGATTATAGTGTATTATAATTAGTACGGCGTGAGGGCGCCACTAGTAACAAATATTTATTTACGAAGATGAGTGCCGCTAGTTCCTCATTCTACACTCTGGCCAGTGACCAGAGCGTGTTCAGCAGAGATGTGGACCAGTGGATCAGAGGGAACAACACGGAGAGTACGGGAGTACAGGGTAGCAGGTTTGATAACAATTATTGCCTTGGAAATACTCGATACCTAATACATACCTTTTCATGTCAATCATGTTTATATGAATATCAACGTTGAATGAATCATTGCTTCTTGTCCTATGTCTTAAATAGCTACTTTCACATTTATTTTAAGATAATAAAACGAACATTAACATTTATTAATGTGTATAATATAAAAATTTGGTAGTCAAATGTTTTATAAGCAAACTTTTTCTTTTAGTTTGTTTTTCAGAGGTGCGGTACATCAACGCGCCCCCCTCGTCGGTAATGAAGCTATCCAGGCGAGCGGCTTCTGGTACATTCTGGCTCTCATTCTTCCGCTCTTCAGCTGTTCTCCTTCCAATCGCTGGAGATGTTCCCCAAGGTAAAATTAAATGAAGATTTTCATCAGTGTATTAAATTTGAAATAACGCCATCTAGTGGCGAAATATCGAAACAATTTGCCATGCATAAGTTATTGCTCATCTTAACTACTAGAAGTATTTTAACTTCATACATTTATATTTTCAGTATCTTTATAATAAATTGTTAATATAACTTCAGACACATAAACAAAAAAACTTAGAATATAGAATGATGTGAGTTCTACGTATTTATTCTAGATGGCGTATGTAGCATGACAACACCGTTTTCGTTTATAACTCTTTTAATAGATGGCGCTTTACACAAAATATTGTTTCAGTACAATACTTCACACAGCTGAACTCTTTCTAACTCAAGTAAGTAGAGCCTGCAGACATTTGCGTTCCTACATACGTCGCCTGGCAACTAACCAGGTGTCCCGCGAGCTGGTGGCCACAGCCATGGACGTGGTGCTTGTAGTATATGCCATAGGTTTCCTCATATTATCCATGTATCAAGCTTCTATTATCGGTTAAATATACCTGTTCCGTCTTATAACGTCCATCGTACAATAAATTAAATTTCGTCAAACTAAAGTTGGGGGTTTCATTTAAGCAGAATTTAAATTAAGAATACAAGGTATAGGATGATGCAATGAAAATATTGTAATTATTAGTGGACGTTGTTTCTGAATTTTCAAATTTTATTTTTACTTTAAATATCTACTTTATAGTTTCATGATAGTCCTTTGAAGACTTTCTAGTTTTTTTTATAACGTTAAATTTTATGATACTCGTAATCAAAGCTGATTAAAACCTCTAATTCTTTAAAGTATATAAAACAAATAAATAAATATAAAAGTAAATACGCATATAAAAACTTATTAAAATTTAAACCCTACATACATTATTATGGACATGTTAGCCAATCTACATTAAGAAATACTACTTGTTTGGTTGTAGGGAATATAAAATTAAATATTTTAAAGAAAATAATATTAAAATATATGTAGGTATATAAACTGTTTTTAAAAATGTCTGTTTTTTCGGACTAATCTTTGAAACAGTTGCAAAGCTAGCTGGAGTATCTTCGACTACTTTTTAGTTTTTAACGGAGTTTAAAAGGAGGAAGTTCAAAATTTAGTTTTTTATCAAATAGGAACTGTCTTGTAGTTCTAACATTACCAAGTAATGGTCTGATAAAGGGATCTTGAAGGAACCGAATGAAACCTCATATAATCTCAAAAACTATCTTATATGCAGACAAAGCCGCGGCCGATATCTAGTAAAAATATATTTACATGTTACATTAAATAAACTATAAGAATCTATACTTAAATATTAACTTATAGTCCAGTCATTATAGTAAGTTCACCTCGGAATTCGAGATACCCAGCTGTAAGTCTGTAAATAGTTGCATATATACACCCTAAAAGTTGTCTCAAAACCTACATATGGTAGGGTGTAAGCAACTATTAAATTTCATGGTCAAAGGTCACAAGAATCGGTTTTTTGCGCTTTTTTTGGAAATATCTCATTTCCTATGGGTTTTTTGCTATTTGTATTTATTATCAAAATTGTAGAATACTAAATTCTCTACAAATTTTGTTTCAAAATTTTTTTATACGGTGTACCGTTTTCGAAATAGAAGGCGGAGAGCGCGCGGTCACCGCATCACTTCAGGTCAACCGGTGCCTCCGGTCGAAAACGCGCCATATATAGTTGACTAGCTTTCCGCCCGCAGCTTCGCCGCGTGGAGTTCGGTTATATCGCGTTTCCAAGAGAACCTTTCAAAAGTCTGGGATAAAAACTATCCTATGTTCTTTCTCAAGGTCAACTCTATCTCTGTACCGAATTTCATTAAAATCAGTTCAGTGGTTTAGGCGTGAAAGCGTAGCAGACAGACAGACAGACAGACAGACAGACAGACAGACAGAGTTACTTTCGCATTTATAATATTAGTAGGGATTAACTATCAATAAATCAATGATTATAAATATTGCATTAAATCTATATCTATTCAAACCTTATTGGCAGTCTATAATGCTCCGAAATCTGTGAAAAGTCTCGATCATCTTCGTTATACGCATTTCGTCAAGTCTACAAAACTTAATAAACCTGCTTTCAAATATTCCACCAACAAGTGCAGCTGCTCATCAACATTTCAACCGTGTATATTATCAAGTTCAAACTTGGTTAGGACATGATTTGGAACCCCAGGTATGGGGTTGGGCAATGCGAAATGATTTTCTGGAGCCTATCATGACAATTTTACCACCTGCTCAATACAATTTTCTACAACTGCAAAAGTGGTTGTGGTTCGCGATGCGGATGCAGGAAAGCGGGCTTGCAATGCTCTTTAGCTTGTGGCCAATGTAATGGGCAAGCTTGTCTCAATGCTCAACCATATCAGAGCGACATTAACGAAGATGGAACCTTTGATCCCGAAATCATGGAAGAACTTGAGACAAATGTGGTTGAAGAAGATAATGAAGACCAGTTTGAAATTTACCAGCAGCCAGAAGACGACGATGAAGAGGAAGAAGATGTTTAAAATTATAAATTGTAGTTTTTGTACCCTTTATTCCATTTTTTTACTTTCAATAAAAAATAATTTATTCAATGATATTTTTTAATAAAAAGATTAATTATAATTTATTTGTTTTTTTTCATCATGTAAGAAATTATTAATATTAATTAGGTTAAAATTCAAATATAATTCTTATATTTTCATTAACAATTCTGCAATTACATGGACAAGTAAGTGTTGTTAAATAAATTTATACTGAATAAAAAGTGGATAACTTAGGAAAAAAATGATAAAATATAATATAATAGTTAATAAAAATTTACAAATATTTATAATCATTGATTTATTGATAGTTCATCAACTATATATGGCGCGTTTTCGACCGGAGGCACCGGTTGACCTGAAGTGATGCGGTCACCGCGCGCTCTCCGCCCTTTATCTCGAAAACGGTACACCGTATAAAAAATTTTTGAAACAAAATTTGTAGAGAATTTAGTATTCTACAATATTGATAATAAATACAAATAGCAAAAAACCCATAGGAAATGAGATATTTCCAAAAAAAGCGCAAAAAACCGATTCTTGTGACCTTTGAACCTTGAAATTTAATAGTTGCTTACACCCTACCATATGTAGGTTTTGAGACAACTTTTAGGGTGTATATATGCAACTATTTACAGACTTACAGCTGGGTATCTCGAATTCCGAGATTCTTACCTAATTTAAGCTTAAATGACTGGACTATTAATATTATGTCATACAGTAAACGTTACTATGTATTTGTATTTCAATTGTCAGCGCGGAGTTACTGTTTACAAACGTTGCAATGTCAAAAAAAATCTTCACTATATTTCTTGGTGAAGAACCTATAGGTATTATAAATTATAATTTATTATTAATATATGATTTGTCAACAAGGATCAATTGTATTTATCGGCGCAATCAGCTTTAATAACGGATGCGACATGAAAATAACTTGAGCCTGTCAACAATTCTTATTAAAACTCATTAGTATTCATGATTATTGTTAAAAGTAAAACGAAATCGAAGACTGTTCAAACGGAGAATAGAACTATGTTTGAATTTTGGTATAAATATGACGTCTGGACGCACGACGCCAGAGTTCAGTTAGTGCGGACCATTGAATAATGTGATTATGAAGAACCTTCAAGAAATACAAGATCATTTAGTAGAATTGAAGTTTCTTTATAAAATATCATGGAACGTTCATAAAAGAAGTCACATTAGTAACGATAGCGAGGCTGGAGTCTCTCTCTTTAAAAACAACGAATGCGTAACAAATCCGATATATGCAATCCCTACTAATATTATAAATGCGAAATCAACTCTGTCTGTCTGTTACGCTTTCACGCCCAAACCACTGAACTGATTTTAATGAAATTTGGTACAGAGATAAAGTTGACCTTGAGAAGGGAAATAGGATAGATTTTATCCCAGACTTTTGAAAGATTCTCTTGGAAACGCGATATAACCGAACTCCACGCGGGCGAAGCTGCGGGCGGAAAGCTAGTTATATATAAAAATATGAATTAAATCATTATTTTGTGTGTGGGTGCTTATTATATTAAAATAAAGTGATATATAAACATTTATTAAATATGAAGGTTTCACGTTGTAGTAATTATTAATTATATAGTATTTCTTATCCGTTTATCACAGCTATAATTTTGTAAACACTAGCATTATTCAATTAGTTTTAAACTTAAGCTATAATTTTTTTAAGCGTCAAATGTATTATGTTAATAATATATTTAAAGGAGGTAGTTAAGATTATTATAATATTAGGTATTGTAAGAAATTATTATCCAGTTATGTATGGAATGAGACGAAACCTCTCATCATTCAATGTATTCATCGTGCGGGTGCCGGGTCCATCGTTGTAGTGAGAGGAGCTTCAACAGTGACTGGGACTTGCGACCCAGGTGTAGGTTTAAGGGGTCCCTGTCTAACGCGTTAAACGCGTAGTGACTCAATATTTTAGAAAATTAGTGAGTAATACTTTTGAAAAGATTATTCATGCTTTATTTTAACTGTTATAATTTTAACATAACATAAGGAACACGTAATATATGATCATTTGAAAGTTAAAATACTATTATATAATATTAATCATTCAAAACAACTTATTGAATTAATCATAAAAACTGAGATAACATAATCATTTGTAATAAATAACTGGTTGAAAACTGGATAAATTTCAATAATGTTTTTACTTCCTAGACACACCCATTGTTTAAAAACATAATTGTAGATATCTTTATTGAAGTAAAACTTTTAATGCAACTTCCAACAAGGTTGCGTTAAACGTTTAACGCTCTTGGAGGGGGAACAGAAAGAGACGGAACGAGAGTAAATAGGTGAATCAATTGTGAATTGTAAGTAATATTGTAAAGTTAGTCTTAAAGAAACTGTATGAATTCATAAACAATTTATATCTACTCATTCCTATCTTCATTTCCACATTACTAAGTTCTACTTTTCGCGCGAAAGGACTCCATGTACTATTTTTTAATATAAAATTCCTTATGAACAACGATGTTTTAAACACTGAGTACCTACGTGTTAAGTTGAGTGAGTTTCATTGAACAGACAAAAATTAAAATAATATATGAAAACTTCGTGCACTAAGTCGCGGGTATCAACTTGTTAAAAATATTATAATGAATATAAAAAAAAATCAATAGGTTACATACTTTTTTATTGTCAAATAAAACGGTTTAGTTTTATATGTTTATATTTATTTACCAGCTAGTATATAATAAAACACAACTTCTACAAGTCCTTGAAGTACACAATATCATAATATGTATCAGCAATTGTGTAAACTATGAGTAACTTTCTGAAAACATATTTCAAGATAATTTTCATTCTAGGCTAGACAAAGAAGCAAATATTTTGAATTTTCTTGTATGACATCACCTGATGCAGATGACTCGACGTTTCAAAGATGTATGGTCGGGGGCTGGCTATCAATGTGATGTATGTATGTATTTTGTTACGCTAATGTTACTAAACATTAAACATTGTTGATAGTTATACAGATTTTATTATTATTTACAGGTTTAACACTAAGTTAAGAAAACGCATAGGTACGTCATTCTCTCCGTGTTTTTATACGGTGTGGTTATATGGTTATATAAAATTTTATTTATTGATTTAGTAATCTTAAGCTTTTTATTTCTAATCTCTTTACGATTATATAATATATTGTAAGGTGGTAGAGCCTAGCTGTAGTCAGTTACTACAACTCAAACATGGGCTGGCTCGACCGGGGAAGTACCACCCTCTCACAGAAGATCGGCGTCAAGTAGCCGGTTGCCCTTTCCTCTCCTCTTCCACAATCAAAGTCTTTCTTATGTTGCAGGCGTCCATAGGGAATTTTGAATACCTTGTATCAAGTAGGCCGTCTGCTCGTTTGCCACCTTAATGCTAAAATATAATGTATTGGACGACGAAAAGTGAAAAGCAAATAAAATATAATCGTATAATTTCTTAGAAAAATACAAATGTAACATAATTATTTTCATACTTAGATAAATCAATAATAATATATTTACCCACAATAATTATTACAATGAACAAACTATTATCGTTCCATTAAAAGTACTTCCTTGACTTAATCTTTGAGAGTCGGCTTCCTGTTATCTTGAAGATATCGTTTTCCATCAAGAAATTTGTTGTAGAATTCTTATTTAATAAGAATAAATACAATTATATATCTTTTAGGTATTTGGTTGCAAATAAAAATAACTATTAGGTGAGGTAAAGAGAGGAGCTTGGACAGTGGAGGTGAGCGTTTAACGCGTTAGATAGGGCCCCTTAAACCTACACCTGGGTCGCAAGTCCCAGACACTGTTGAAGCTCCTCTCTCTGTATCCATAAAATATTAAGAGGTTTTATTTGTCGTCTACCTAGATTTGATTGTAATAAGTATTTTTTCGTTTTTTATTATGCTATAGTTTCATTATCTTTAGAATCGTGGAATAGTTTGCCAAAGTCATCGTAATAATTATTTATTGATTTATTACTAACTTAATAATGACTATTTTAATAATGAAAATATTAAAGATGGCAATATTATCTTTTATTCTTTACGTTTGACTTATTTGTGTCCTTTGTTTTAATCGTAATAAAAGCATTTCCCTGTAATATTTACTACCAATGTTTTTAATAACTGTCTCCGTTTCTCACTCTACTAAAAATAATTATTAATTGTACAAAGAGAAAGGTATAAGACATTATTTTAATAATTTAATGCTATTTAATTTTCATACTTTACAATATTATATTGAATTTAAAGAAACTAGTTTTTAGCTACTATGTATATGGTTTTTTATTATTATGTACTATATGTTTTTTATTATTTTGTAACTACATAGTTTCTAAGTGTCACTCTTTCAAATCGTCTGCCCGTGATCAGGCTTGCTGTAAAGATTATGTATGTAAATAGACAAGAATAAAAAAACAGTAGTATCGGAAAGACTTATTTTTATATACCTATAGAATATTTTTGAGACATTCCTCATCATTATGTGTTTTATTGTACTGTTGATAGAAATCAGGAGAATCTGATTCCGCCAGCATGAATGTTAAGTAAACTGCTTTGAAGACTGACGATTGAAGGGCTCTGCCAGGTTCCATAACTCGTAGGACCAATTGCTGGTACTTCTTATTCAAAAACCTCCACCAAAAGTCTTGTATCAATTTCTGTACGTTATATAAAGTGTATTGAATTGTGCTTTAATTGAACAATATTTATATTAGAGAAACATTAATTTATAATACCATTAAAGTTATGAACACTACAATTATCCATACAATGATGCTATGGTTGATGTCACCAATTCGGAAGACACTTGGGTGACCATCAATCATAGAAATTAATGAAAACCTGGACTTCCTATATTTACTTTGACAATACAGGTGTTCATGTTAACTTCCAGGTCCAAACTCCAGTTAACTTTGTAACAAATTCCTCACAGTAATACAATAATATTTATATTCCCATTCTGTTATTAACACTTCCCTCCCACTCTCTCCTGCACGTGCTACATAACCAAACCACTGATGACGCGATGTCTTATGTCAGGTAGTATTTCAGTAATACACGAACATTGTTTTCAAATATTTATTTAATGTAAATAAAACTATTTTAAAGTTTATGTTAGATGTTTAATCGTTGAGTATCATTTTAATTTACATGAAAATATATTAAAACTGATGAGATACTTGTGATTGAATATAACGTAAAACATACACAATTATATACGTAAGCAAAAATAAAGAAATTTCAGAATACATTAACGATCATAAACCTGAAAAGTTCTCATCATTTTTTTTATATTACCAAAGCGGCAAACGAGCAGACGGTCTACTAGATGGAAAATAGTCACCGTCGCCCATAGTGTTGTAGATGCGGTACCGGCCCTGTATGTGAAGGAGCCACCTGAAACATAATGTATGTAAGACAAAATTGATAGAATAGAAACAATATAAATTTGAAAAATCCTGACTAAAGTAAGCAATAGTTATAAAAGAAACGCAGTGTTGATTCCATACAACAGCTTTCAAAGATCTACCATAACAAATCATGATGAAAAAACTTAAGTCTAACTAAAGTTAAAGGACTATGGTTGAAAGACAGAGAGAATTCATATAACGTATTTATTATTATTCCTTATAATATTCAAAATTATTGAATGACATTACAATTCAAGCAGGACGGAAGGAAAATAATTAACATTTCCCAAAAGAAAATCTTGTATAAATAGTTCGTAACGGTTATTTAACTATGACCTAAGTAAGCTAAGTCTAAGTTTGCAGCGTCACACTTCATACGACGCGTTCCACGTTTCTCATCCATAACCTAAGTTAATTTTTGTAATGTGACAAAATTTATGAATGAAATACTGTTAACGCTACGTATTGCGTAAAGATAGCAAAATCAAACTAAGTACACTGATTGGAACTTGACTAAATACGATCTTTTAATTTACTATTCAAACAATATGAATAATCTCCAAAAATAAAATATTTCGAAAGTAATTTTATCTCCATATCGTAGATATATTAACAAACTTTTAAAAAGTATTTCTAATTAGTATGTATCTTAGTAGAATGGTATTCATTTATAGCATAATACAGAAATTACCAAGATATATGACATATGTACTTAATACTTATTGTATTCAAATGTTAATGCAACCTTAGATACTCAACATAGAAGGAAATAGATTATTACCAATACATAAACAATCGATATAAGAATTCAGTGTTCGTTATCAGCTTTTGTAACATGATATAGCTGATGATACAAGTGGAATACAAACCCTTGAGAACCATGACGCTCCACTCGCTATAGAAACAAGAAACTCACGATAATATTTTTCGTAAATTATTATTGCTAAGTATATTCAGCGCAACCGTACATGAATCACATCACCAGTAGAGCAAACGAGTCAACATAACACTGCATAATATTATATACTATCTAGACTAGTACGTGCAATATTCAAACAGTCTAACACTAAGTCAAAGAGACATCAAATAGGAGACGACTCAGCAGTCAGCAGTGCAACCCGGGCGTGCAACATGGCCGCCCGCTTCGTGGTAATCGCGGTGTGCGCATGCGCGGCCGTCTCGCGCGCAACACAGGTCAGTTCAATTACTTATTTTATATATTTTTTATTTTAAATTTTCTGATTCTATTTTAAAAATAGTAAAATTATACGTTTAATATGTGTTTTTCATGTATCAATAAAATAGTTATTTTAATGTCCAAAATAATCATCGATGTTGTATTCAGTTATAAAAATAAAATTCAGTTGACATGATTGATATGTGGCGATTTAAAAAAGTCGGTAAATTATTTTGAACAAGCACTGGAATTGTGAAATTATTTGTTAAAAGTTTTAATTAAAGGCTGTTACTGATTCGGAAAATAAAGAAAAAACAGTCCATTAGTCAATAATTACAATTATTTTACTAAATCTTCAAAACACAAGTAAAATTTGAGATTTGGGCTGAATTGGACAACCATTGTAATATATGGTGACAGAAATAAATGTAAAAAATGGAATTAAAGTGTTAAATAAAATTAAAACAAATAAAATCACAGTCAAAATTCTTATGATAATGAAATATTTTTCCAAAATAATTTTTCAAACACAACATTGGAATTAAAAAATATTTTACATGGATGATACTATAAAATAAAACAAAATAAAATCTATATTTTTTTTATTAAAATTTTAGGACAAATAATAATATTAAATAGAGGGGACATTTGAAATTTCCTGTGATCAATAAGAAGTTGCAACAATATATAAACACATCCTGTAATAACTTATTTCGCTAAAAATAATGAACCTTATATTTAAATACATTAGTTAATATTAAAAGGGTAAAAAATAAAAATAATTTTACAGAAACATATAATTGAATGAATATTTGTTTAACAAAATATAGAACGATTTATTATATTCAATTTCGATAATTTTAAAATTTTCACTACTTCAAATCATGTTAAAAATTAATATAATAGTAGTACATCTCAAAATTATTGTTTTATACAAATATGTACTCGCGATAATCTTAATATATAAATAAGCAATACTTGATTTAGTTCACACGGACAGTGCCTACTAGAAGTTTTCATTACACTACTAATACTTACACATCGTTTGTAGTTTCATTCATATACTTATATAATTTACGAATAATAAACTAAATAGGTTTTGTATACACGTGTTGAGCTTGTAGACGTCGTGTCTCGTGTAATAGGAGAACTGTTTTCAATGTCATATACTGTGGACACGTTGAGATAAATATATTTAATACAGAAATTAAACAATATTCACAGCTCAATATATAAATAATCTTATAATTTAACTCTTTTAATATAAATGTCAAGTATAACATAAAACCTTTTTGATGTCTGTTTGACAATTAACTGTCATTTTCGGCGCCATTATAAATATTGCCAGCTGTTGTCAATTTTGTTATTTTAAATTATTAAAGCGTTATTGTTAGAAATATGTGTAATATTATTTGTTATAGATAAGATTTTATTAAGATGAATGCCTAATAGATACTTGAACACAAGATTAACGACGATGTCAAGTTCAAATATATTAGTTAACTGTACAATTAAACTAACTAAAGTTAAAAAATATATTACTAACAGCTATACACGTATTTTCTTTACAATGCGATAAGAAATTCCAATGCATAAGACAGATAAAACAATACGGGCACACAGCAATCGGTCTTATTATTACTACATAAGGCATATATTAGGATGAATGATTATAGTGGATATTGTAATACGTAGGTTGTATTGAAGGTATGCGTAAATAATGTAACAAACAAACAAGCACATCTCGTCCTTGATCTACATATATATGTATTACAATATTTATATATTAATTATAATAAATTTAAATACTATACTACATTAATGTTTTTTTTATAACTTTTGTAGCAAACGAACATTCCTTTTTCAAAATGAATGACAAAAAGGTTTCAATGGAAGTATATAAAACCTCTTTTTTATGTTTTTTCTTCAAATTGAACTATTTTTATAAGTATAATATACTTTTAAGTAGCATTCAGCTTATTAATTTGATTTTGTATGAATATTATGATACTCGTATATAAGTTTAGTTTGCTGTACGAGGTTAATTAGTTAGAGATCATGGCTTAGCTTATCCAAGGCATGTGATGAAAAAGCAAGCTGGATTAATTTAATTATTTATCAATAGCCAAAACGTCCTCTTGCTCTCAAATCATTATTTTACTGATTCATTATTAATTGCTTTTAATATTTCGCAGATAATTATTCTAATTATTCTATCTTCTTTCCCCGTCTATTAATTCTAATCTTAGTTTCAAAAGGTTAAACAAATAAGTTATTTCTACTTAAACATAAATACTATAACATTAGTATATAACTCGTGTATATGAAAACCATATTTTTAATATATGTATATGTATAGTAATAGAAAAATAACATTTTTTAAAAGTAACAAGAATCCACAACATCCGACCTCGCTACAGTGGACATCATAAAACGATTTTATTACTAATATTAATATAGTGTCGCGGAGAAAACTAAATATTAAGATTTTATGTTCAAATAATCTTGTATGTTCGAGGTTAAATTGTTTAATAAGAGAGTTATCAATAAAATAGATATTTCTATTATATTATTATTTTGCAAGGTTGTTTAATATCGAAAAATTATAAAATACATCACCATGATTGAAAAGTTTTGGGTTAAAAATTATAGAGAATGAAAATAAAAGATATTATAAGAGTTCTTTCCTTTTATTTATTGGCATTTCCTTATACATTTAGCCAATGTCATGTATGACATTGACGTTGACAGTTGAGTGTGACGTGCGTGCACAGATAAAACAAACATTAATATTTCAATCATATTTTACAGAACAGCTTAAAAACATTCCACTATAATAAAAGGCCTCATTAATCTTTAATTTCAAGCTATAAACCAGCTTGAGGATTCCTTTGAGCTGATTTTAAAATACTATATGATAAACAGAAGCTAAGCTGTTATTATACGTGGGTCAAGTTCTGCATGCCAAGGTTTACGTTGGTTAAAAATAGATTCCCACTGACATTACAAATACATAATAATTATTTTTACGTGCAGTGAAAGACAATGAAAGTATATAGACTTATAATTATAATATTATTATAGATTTTATTCTATGCTTTCTTTATTATGGCCTTGTATATTTGTCGAGTTCGGTTATATCGCGTTTCCAAGAGAACCTTTCAAAAGTCTGGGATAAAAACTATCCTATGTTCTTTCTCAAGGTTAACTCTATATCTGTACCAAATTTCATTAACATCAGTTCAGCGGTTTCGGCGTGAAAGCGTAACAGACAGACAGATAGAGTTACTTTCGCATTTATAATATTAGTAGGGGTAATAGTTTTATCCGATGCTTTCTTTATTATGGATTATACCTATATTGTTTATAGATTTTCCATATAAATTATACACGTATTTTTTATATAAATGTAATAAAACAAGTAAAAAAAAAGTCTTATTTATTAATTCTTTCCACAGCCGGCCGCTACGATATACTTGGACGTATCACACCACGAAAACCTTGAAGTTAGGAAGAATTACACGCCGGAACTGCTGCAAGACTTGGAGAAGGTGAAAGACGATGCTCTGCTGCTTTATATGGAGTACACGAGCCAGGCGGCCGCTGATGTTAAGGCTTTCATCAGAAACATAACAGGACTCACCAAGGACACCATCAATGATATGGAAACCAGGGTCTTGGACCGAGCCGTGAGTTATACTGGAATGATTTACGGTTGAAACACACATACACACATACATACATGTATAATTACTACATAAACACTCGAAATAGGTTCGTCGTGGATTTATACATGGTAGAGGTGGAAGCGAGAGGTATAACAGCAAAATCTCTCTACAACCTACTAAAAGACTTGGGCTTGTCCAGGACTCACGTTAATTCAATCTTGGAACGTACGTCGAAAGCAGCCCTAGTAGGTTCTTTTCAAATTTGGTTAGGTAGGGAGAGGAGCTTGGACAGTGGAGGTGAGCGTATGACGCAGGTTAGATAGGGACCCCTTAAACCTACACCTGGGTCGCAAGTCCCAGTCACTGTTGAAGCTCCTCTCCCTACAACGATGGACCCGACACACGCACCGTGAATACTTTAGATGATGAGAAGTTTCGTCCCTCTTTAATCAAACTTTTCATTCTCATAGGTCTCGTATCGCGAAAATATATTTAATAAACAATTATTGTAAGTTGCTTAAAACAACTAATTTGAATATTATAATAAACTATTAATATGAAACAATTCTTTTCCAAAAAGGGAGTTATTAAACATAAAATATATGAATAATGTTACATTAATATTGTACTCACAGTTGGATGTAGTTGAATATAATTAGATCTATTAAGAACCTAATTTATCGTGAGCAAATCCAGGATATAAAGACTAGTGTTGTTTGAAAACAAACAGATATATAGACTACATGCAGAATAGTATGGTGCACAGCTGCAACTGTTTATAGATACGGTAGGAAATACATACATACAAACTACGTAGAGATCAAACATGTATATAATGAACTACAAACTAAGCGTACGTAGTCTTTTAATAAAACAAAGTACTACTTATAATTGACTATTCCATATAGAGAGTTGTCAGGCGGCCGGTCGTAAAAACAATTAGCCAAAACTATTCACATTTAAGGCAGATCCTGGCTAAAACTAAGAAATTGCCAGATAAAAGAGAATTCCATATAGTCGTGGTTTAAATATAAAATTTAATATAATATTGGAAACGTCTGTAAAACATTAAAATTATCATTGACGCGCTCTTGCCAAATGTACCTAATTTTGACAATCCATTTGGTAAATTGCTAACCTAATCCAAGTAAGCCAAGGTTTAGATCAAACGGATTTTTGGAACAATTAGTGCACTTTATAACTGAGTTTATATTGAACAGCAATAAATGCTCTCAAATATTGATAACTAACACTATTTGATTATTTACCTGGAAATACATTTAGATATCGCGGGAATTCTAAGAGCTTTGCTATATTGAATGGCGAGAAACGATCTTTGAAATCTTTAGATAATTATCAGTTTTCGTATTGAATACATTCTGAGATTATTATAAAAAGTTATTAATAATATAATAGGGTCTAGGTGTAAGTGAGACAGAGATACAGCTTACTCTCTCTAACTGTCATAGCGTTTATTCTGTACTAGCTTTCCGCCTCCAGCTTCGCCCGCGTGGATTTCGGTTATATCGCGTTTCCAAGAGAACCTTTCAAAAGTCTGAGATGAAAACTATCCTATGTTCTTTCTCACGGTCAACTCTATGTCTGTACCAAATTTCATTAAAATCAGTTCAGCGGTTTAGGCGTGAAAGCGTAACAGACAGACAGAGTTACTTCCGCATTTATAATATTAGTAGGGATTTCGTAAAGTTAATATATTATGTTTTTTGAAGTTTAACCTTATATACATCACCTGTCTTTCAAATTAAAAATGCGTAGTATTGACTCATACTAACATCTGGTATTCATTACCACATTTAATGAACAGCACCCTAATGACAATCCTAACTCGATTGTCATCTTAAAATTTCCTATAATTAAGAAATCTTTACATATAAAAGAAAGTCGTGTTAGTTACACTATTTATAACTCAAGAACGACTGTATGGAATTGGCTTGAATTGGTGGAGAGCTTAGAATTAGGAAAAGTACATAGAATACTTTTTATCCGATTGAAAAATAATAAAAAATAATCTTCTTATCTACTGTCTTCAATAGAGTTTGCTCGGTCATACATTTCTAATTCGGAAACAAATGAAGACGAAGTCGCGTGCAAAAACTAGTATATGGATATATTTACTGTTATATAAGTTCTACTTCTTGTAATAATGCTTAAGAAATATTGTGTTTTTATTTGATGCAATTTATTCTTGTAGTTAAAATTCACTAATCTATATATTTTATAATAACAGGACATTTTTAATTCTAATTAAAACTATGTTATAATTAAGTAAGAACATACTATTTATCTATCAGTATTACTTACAGAGAAATAGTAAATTAAAGCAAAAAAAAAACCACTTAAGTTTTTTATTAATAAAACATATTTTTCCATAATATATTCAAGTTCATTACAAAATAATTACACCTAAGGATAACAGTGTATTTATTTATTTTTCATTCATAATATTAATGAAAAGGTATTGAGAGACCACTATTATTTATTGTTACATTTAAATACACTTAAGTAACACTTATAAAACACAAAGCAAATAATAAAATACACAACTACCTATTCATTTATTTACTTTAAAATATAAATCTTTTAAACAAATATCAAATATAATTCTTAAAAGACTTTGTATCTGAATAGCGCATTTTTACCAGCCTTACTAATATTATAAATGCGAAAGTAACTCTGTCTGTCTGTTACGCTTTCACGCCTAAACCACTGAACTGATTTTAATGATATTTTGTACAGAGATAGAATTGACCTTGAGAAATAACATAGGATAGTTTTATCCCAGACATTTGAGAAGTTCTCTTGGAAACGCGACATAGCCGACCTCGACGCGGGCGAAGCCGCGGGCGGAAAGCTAGTCAAATATAATTCTTAAAAGACTTTGTATCAGAATATTTTCTCGTGTCGCGGTGTTAGACAGAGAACTCCGACATGGCTGGACCTAATTTGATGAAATCTTGTGAGCATATCGAGTAGGTCTGAGAATCGGCAAACATTTATTTTTCATACCCTTAAGTCTTAAGGGTTGTTCAAAAAATACATACAACCCAAAATTTTTACTTTTTCATCACCAACCCCTATTTTTATATGGCTAAACATAGTTAGCGTATCAGCTAGTAATAATAAAAAAATAATTTCAAATAATGTTCAGTTTATGTGACAATTTAAAACACACAAGACTAGTTATTATATATAGTTATTTATATAACGGCTGACGTAAACATTGTCCATCAAATAATAACTAACCAATAAATAAAGCTATCAATAATAAGTCATTTAATCTTCCGATTAATAAGACTTCATCTGAATCATAATGATCAATAAAAATCATGTTTATATAACTGGTTGAAGAAAATATGAACTTAAAACTGCACATACTTTAAGATATTCATAATAAATAAAGTAAAACTTACACCTAATCGTTTAATGCGCGTTAGATAGGGTCCCCCTTAAACCTACACCTGGGTCGCAAGTCCCAGTCACTGTTGAAGCTCCTCTCCCTACAACGATGGACCCGACAAACACACGGTGAATACATTGAATGATGAGAGGTTTCATCTATCTTTTGAGTTATAACACACGTAAATTTTGATGTCTAGGTAAATGAAATTAAAGAATATATTTTTAGATCTTCACGCAATTAAAACAGACCTTGCGCTAACTTGATGCATATTTTTACGAGCCCCGCTATAAACATAACAATACAAAGCGAATCTTTTTGTCTGTTTGTTTACTCGGCCTCGTTTTGAGTGCTCCATAAATCATATTATTACTAAGGAAATGAGGTAACAAATGTTTTAAGGTAATACATATTGCATTCGGATGTATTTATCGCTTCACCGACACCCAGCGTTGCCAAAGTAACGTCATTTTGACTGATATTTGAGGAGTGTGGCGATATTTACGCGGCAACATACCAAAAAACAAAATTACAGTTGAGAAATTGCTTATCGATGATTACATAAACGTTTGAATCTAAATTTATGTTATATTTTTTATAATATTTATTATCAGAGTCAGTAGAAATACCTCAGACGACGGGTTTACTAAATTGGTGAAAATCGGTCGACGACATTCTTATCACGATCAAGTCACTCAGAGTAATGTAACTTTTAAATCACTGACATTAAGAGTGGTTGCTTTTAAATCTTATTCTTTTAAGGATGTAGTAATTTGTCGTAATTAATTTCCAATCCATTACTCGTTTTTTTGTGTAAATCAATCGAAACTGTTTTGATTTATTGGTTATAGATTATATAATAATATAGTTTAAACTTGTGTTGCCCGTTGTATCGTCACGTCGCCTTGACAGTGACGCGTGGCTTGATGCGTTTGACGTCATCACAATTAGTTCAGTTGGTTCAAATGTTTACGTGAAACAGACTGACAGTCGTATACTGATTACATATAATAAAACGTTGGCATCGACGCAAACAGATGTAGGATGGATATTTTTACATTTTATGCACTATTCTTCCGATTACGATCCAGATACTTTAATGTTAATAATGTTATATGAAAAATACTTTAATGGGAATCACTGTGAGAACATACTGATAAATAAAAGCAGGTAAATTCAATACTTTTAAAGTTATTTTCTTGAACATCTCTGTATAAACATATAGAAGTACATTAAATTTTCTTAATTCGTCTATTTGGGCTTTTTGCCATATAAGATCTAGGATAACGTCAAAACTCAAATGTCTTACATATCTTTGTTATACAATTGACACGCTACCAAAAAAACTTTCATACATACACGCAAGTTATTTAAAACCTTGCAGAATAGGCAAAAATAAACTGTACACGTCGAAAGAATTTAAAGGCACTATCTTTTAAATAACAAAAAATATGCCAAGATCATAAAATAGGTGAAGCAATATTCTAATAAGGTGATGAGTTATTCCTATAGCTCTTGGATTATTTTGACATCAACATAGCTCTTGGACTACCAAAGGATTAATTCAGATAATGGGAAACTTCCGAAAAATCTAAGAAATCGTGTAAATGAAACTAATAATTATCGGATACACCTACTACGAGTGCTCTACTTTTGTAAAAAACTACATACTCCCGACGTTTCGGTTATTTTTCAGCAGCTGTGACAGACGAGATGTGAATTGTAATCTGTTTAGAGCTTCTTTAATATAAATACAATAGCTATACCAACCCAGTTTTCTTTCCATCTAGCCATCTAAACCCTTTATCATGAGACTTTTCTTTACAGTCTCGTTCGTGTCGTGATGAGTTCGACAAGGTTGTACAGAAGGCTCAGAATGACGCTCACCGCGCCGCCCTGTTCAGCGGTGAAAACCACCACAAGTATCTCCTGGGGCAAATGATTGTTATGAGGATGCATCTCAATAAGGTACGATATTTATTATATACGCATGAAGGCGCGGGTTCGATCCTGGCCCAGGCAAGTACCAATATGATTTATCCAAGTCATATGTACTTTCTAAGAGTATTTAGACATCACTGATTAATGCATTCCCAAAAGAGGGTTGATGTCAGCCAGGCGGCCGGTCGTAAAAAAACAATTAGCGAAAACTATTCATAACATGTAAGGCAGACCCTGGCTAAAGCTGGGAAATTGCCAAGTAGAAGAAGATGTATATATTATTTTAAATAATACCTGGATAGTCTTATCTTTATCTAACTACGAGACGAAATATTCATAGTTCACGTGCGAATTAGTCCATTAATTTAATATGTAATGTGAATGTTTTAGTCGACAAATGTTAACTCTACCTTTTCTCCTCCCAATTATTACACTTAGAACAAATTTCACTATTTATGTATCCAATCTTTTGGTCATTTGATAAGCAAAACACTAAAGAGAGGAAAAATAGATGGATCATATTTTTTGTAAAATTAAAAAGTTTAGATACCTATTACTTATGACACATATACTAAATGAAGATTCAAATAAGTAGATATAACTATGTAAATAAATAAAATTTTGAAATTTTGAATGCATAGGAACTTGTTTCTTATAAGCTATATAATAAGTTTTCTTTATTCCAACAGAATTATATATGCGGATATTCAAATAGTTCGTAATAATAAGTTATTTGATAATTATAACTTCGTTAACAATTATGCGTAGATTAATTATGATTAGATATAAAACTTGTATAAGTGTCGCGTTTAATAAAATTACATTGTAATAGATTCTAAAATACAATTAAATATTATTACAGAGCGAAGATTACCTCCGAAGATGTGAAAAGGTTAACAAAGACTGTGGAGTTTCCTGCGACGTGAGTTAAAAATAACTTAGACCACTTAAATATTCAAAATAAACTAAAAAATACATTAAAATGTAATATTACAGAAAACTCCGAAATTTTTACGATGGTGTCGTCTAGCGCAAGTAGAAATTAACAGAGTGAAGGAAGACATTATACACACAAGGAAAACATACAGAGATTTGATCATACATAACAGAAGGAAACTTGGACATTTGAAGAAGATAGCACGCGTACGAGCTGGAAGAGCTGTGACGGCTGTGGAAACTTGTGTCAAGAATACGACTTGCTAGAAAGAAGAGATTAACATCTAGAAGAATTATTAAAAAGAAGAATTAATACAGTCGAAACGTCATACTATCAGTTTTGACGTTAATGTAATATATTTTATTGGGTGCTGTCAATAAGTACAAATTGAAATTAAATCGTTTAAATGTTGCCATATGTTAGATATTTATTATTAGTTAAGTTTTATTATTATTAAGTGATTCGGCTGCCATGACTCGTTTTATTTTTGAAATTATCGCCAAATTTTGTTTGTAATGATAATTTATTATTAAAACTATTTTTTTTCGTAAATATTGATTTTGACAAAAAATTGTATATTCCAAATTTTTTGATTCATTATTTTGTCAACAAATTCATTTTAATCAAATAACTTTATTCCCAATGAATAATTTTAATCAGTATTTTCTATATTTATTTATTGTACGAATATAAAGTTAAGCTAATTGTTTTAATGGCTAAGATATGAATTATAAAATATATAAAAAAATACTAAAATCTAGTCTAGAAAAAGGCGTTTTGGAGAAAAGTATGAGAGCTCTATATTGGGCGATAACCTGAACTATTCCTTCAAGCGTCCATCATAAGAAGGTCTCTAGCCAATCTTCCTTACATTATCATTAGTTTCGATGTTTCTGTGATAACTGAACTCATTCAATAACATTTAGTTAAAGTACAATCATTATAAATTTAATTTAACATTATCGATGTTACATTTGTAAATAAAAATTTATTTTATATAAGATTTTCTTTTATTTTTCCCACTGTTTATAACATATGCATTATTTACAAGACACAATCTAAGGTTATCTTCAAGACTAGTTCACGTACGAACAGCAAATTACGTGATTATTATAAAAAATGATTAAAGAATCAAGTATAATTATTATTTTTGATGCTATATTTCTATAATTGACTTCATTTAGGTCAGAAACGATATTTTTATTTTTAAAACCAACAATATGTTTTCTTTAATTTTTGATAAATAAAAGATTTTAATTCATAAATATTAAATTACTCTTTATAACAAGCATATCCTTTTTTAAATCACTTGAATTTCTATCAAAGCATAATATTTCTTTTTTCTTTGTTAATTTATTTGTTTCCGTGATTTTTTTGCAGTCAGTACTTTTAGTAAACTACATTTTAACTCCTCAGAACACTATAATATCAAGCTAGTACAAATACATCGCGGATTTAACTATACACTATTATAATGTTTATTAATATTTGTTTCCTTTGTGTTTTGATGAGTGAAGCACTGTGTGAGGTAACTATGTATAATGACACATTAACTACGAGTATCTATCAACCATTTTAATAGTTAAAACTTCTTAGAATTTAAGTGTAGTTTGATATAAAATTAAATAGATTTCTATTTTATGTATATTTAAATGAAATCATCTTGATTCAAGACTATATGTATAATCATTACTAGCTTTCCGCCCGCAGCTTCGCCCGCGTGGAGTTCCTTTATATCGCGTTTCCAAGAGAACCTTTCAAGAGTGTGGGATAAAAACTATTTTCTTTCTCAAGGTCAACTCTATATCTGTACCAAATTTCATTAAAATCAGTTCAGCGGTTTAAACGTGAAAGCGTGACAGACGGACGGAGTTACTTTCGCATTTATAATATTAGTAGGGATAGGGAATATTCTAACAAGATTAAGATATTAATGTACCTATCATATAACACAGAATACGACGGAATCTAATCTCAACACATACGTGAAATATATTAATTCGTCTCTCGACCTGGACAAGAGTGATCGTCTTCTCATGAGGAGGTGGTCCGAGGAGTTTCAGCTCCAGTTAGTGAACATCACGTCTCAATACAGACTTGACATGACCCGCCACAAGGAACACAGCTTTGTGATCATTAAAGCTAACTCCAAGGTAATAATTAAACTCTTGAACTGAACGCGTTTGGATGCATTATTTATTTTATCAGGTTTTCTGACATTCAATCAGATGTTAGATTAATATAACATTTAATGGGTGAAGTAATTAGTTCTGCTTTTTGTTACTACAACAATATTTAGATACATATACGTGCATTTAAATGAAGTGATAACTTGTGTTTCAATTATACGTATTAAATAGTTACAGTTATGTTACTTCTATTCAAAAATATCATCATTGAAATTATATTATATAAAGGAAATACAAATTTAAATCTGAATTCTAAGTAAAATAAAAACATTAGAACTTACAGATATAGTTTTTTTAATTATTTGAAACTATTAATTGTCTTTTAAAATATGTACATATATGTATATTATATTAAAAAACCAGTACTAATAAAATATTTTTGAAAAAATAGTGGAACGAGTGCATTAAGTTACATCGGAATGAAATAGACAAAGCTCAGACAACATATTTGACGAATGAAGCGGAATGCTTGAAGGACGCCAACACGAACAAAAATAAAAAGAAACATACGGTGTTCCAAATGGAGAAGGAGGTAAAGAAAGATAATTATTATGATAACATCTAGAGATTCATCATCATCATCATCATAAGCCTATCAGAGCCAAGTGCTGAGCAAAGTCCTCCTCTCACGTGGAGAAGTTTTCAGCATTAATCACCACGCTTGCTCAAGACGGGTTGGTTATTTCAAACTTATAATTGTGAAACTGTAAGTCTAGGTTTCCTCACGATGTTTTCATTCACCGTCTGTCAGTGGTGTCTAAACACTCTTAGAAAGTACATATGACCCGGAAAAATCACATTGGTTCTTGCTAGGTTTAGAACCCGCGCCATCATGCATGAGAGGCGGGCCCTTTAACCTTTAACCCACCGCGACCTTTTAATAATTAACTTTTGAATATACAAGAAAAATAAATATAAAGAATTTACTGTTGATTTTAAAACCACGTCTGTGTATATGATCAATGTATAATATTTTCTTTAAGATGAATGTAGCTATGAGAGTTTTCCACTCTGCACTGTAAAATATTTTTTTTGTTTTTATATTACTAAATAAGTTTTTCTAAGTTAGTCATTATTAGGTCAGCCATCAGATTGTGAAAGTCCCATTAGAATCGGTCCAGTTGTGTCAGAGATTATCTAAAATAATCAGAGATGGACACAAAAAAAAAATTTGATATACCTATGTACCATGTATACATTTAGTAATAAGCTGTTATTTTAATATTACAAGCAGTCACACCAATTCTATACATTTTAATAGTAAATTTAACGTTTTATATACTTTCAGATAAGAAAATGGCGGAAGAGCTACAGATACATAATAAAACAATGCAAATCGGAGAATCCTAAAGACGACGAGGCAGTTGATGACTGTGTCATAGATTATGTCAGGCGCTATTATTATTACGTTAAACCTAAATTTAAAGTTAAAACTAATATAAATAACCTATTTAAATAACAAAAAACTATTGATTGACATTCAATTCCTCAATTAAACGTTAAATTAAAATGAAAGTTTCAAATGTATTGCCAGTAACAATAATTTAATTCGTTTTGTTATTGTGTAGATCCAAAGAGACAACTATCATATAGCCTTCCAAAGACTGATGCTGCTGAAGCTTGAGGCTATGTCGGAGCTGTTCGATCAGATCATTAGGAGTCAGAAGGAATTAGAAGACTGCTTGAAGGTGACCCTGACTGAATACTTGGATACAGTCAGAACTATTATGGGCTATTTAAACAAGTGTTATAGAAGAGTTGTTTCATAAAGGAAATCTTGTAGTAACTAAGTATGTATTTATTATATTTTATAGTTATAATCAAAGTTGATATATATTTAAAAAAAATGTGCGGTGATTCCTACCTCGAGGAAGAAGTTGAACTTCGTAATTGTAAACAATTTTAATATTTATATTAAATAACTAGCTGTGCCCGCGACTTCGTTCGCGTGGAATAGTGACTATGAGCAGCGTTTTTTTAAAATATATACTTATTTTTATTTTGGATCATAATCACAGTCATTTTGGGTAGCTAAAAAGCCTACTTTACTGTAATGCTTCTCTATATACAATATTAAACGTATGGCCATCGGGGGTGAAAGCATACAGGCTGCTGGGATTGCTAACACGGGACAGAGCCACATACAATTAACACACCCGGTCGAATATTGAACGCAGTTCTTCAGTTCTTTAATTTGACATAACTTTTTTATTTATGAACCGATTGACATGAAACAAATACTAAAGCATAACTGAAGCATACCACAATATATTCGTGAAAACCGCATCCAACTCGGATCAGCCGTTTCTGAGATTAGCGTGAACAGACAAACAGACAAAAAAAAAGTTAATTACATTTTTGGGTTCGACATCGACATAACAATAACCTCTGCTATTTTTTTTATTTTTATTTTCAATGTACAGACAGCACTTTTCTACAATTTTATTATATGTATAGACTAGTGTAAATACTGCCGTTAAATTATGTGTATCAAATGAAACTAAAATAAAATTTAATATACAGGGTGACTGGTGAATTACTATCGATATTTGAGGACGTGATATTTGACGATCATATATGACAAAATAAAAATTAATATAACATAAATATTAATAAACTTCTAAGTAAAGTTAACCAAAAGTTATGTAATTAATTACGCATCGTGTGAACACCCTACAGATTAGGTATACACTGACACTCACACATACGCGTGTCGTGACGTAGTGTTGTATCAACACGTCGCCGCACGCGTCCACACTTGAACATTTGGAACGTGTCAACACTTTACTTATTTATACGGAAATTTTGTCAAAAATTAAGTGCCTATTTTTTTTACATAATTCGAATGAGAATCATGTACCGAGTATTCTCCTTAAATATTGATAGTAATTCACCAGTCACCCTGTAGAAACACAAGTACGCATTTCTGATAATTTCAAGTCGCTCACACTATTTACTTCTCTACATAACAACACCATAAACATGTGTTTAAAATGTACCGACTTACTCTCTCTCTCCTACCTAGAACATACATGTATCTTTCTTTCTCTCTTCCTCGATGTTAAACGTTTAACGCAACCTTGTTAAAAGTTGCATAAGAAGTTTCACTTCATTAACGTTAAAAGGAATCTTAATAATTTTTACAAAAACTTCATCATCAGAATATCGTGAAATGAATATTATTCTATATTTTCTATGTGAATTATTATTAAAATACAACTCAATAATTATAAGTATATGAATAAAAAATTGTTGATTTAAAGACATAAAGCAAAGTCTTTTAAATATTGACACAGTAAACATGAGTCAGGTAACTATTTATAATAATGATGTTAACTCTTACGGTAAAATAACCGTTACAAGGTGTAAGAATTAGCTCAAACTTGTGACTATCATTAAGGAATTAGGACAAGTCAAAGAAAACTCATTAATGTATGTAAAAAAATATATTTATCATTAATTCGTTGTTATTACTATACTAGAAGCTATTTACACAGCTTAAAATTACATCATAATATTTGTACAAAAATATTAAACTATGGCAATATTAATGGTAATAGTATTTATAGTCTATGATCATCACAATATATGAAAAAAAAAAAAAAATACAAAAATTATGTACCTATTGGTAGTACAAAATTGTCATATAAAAATATTTTAATATTTATCGTATAATTATTTATATACATTATAATACATGGACGTTGTCGCCGTGTTATAGACTAGTGTATCTTCTTCTTCCTTCTGGCAATTCCCCAGCTTTAACCAGGGTCTGCCTTGCCTGTTATAGACTAGTGTGTGTCTATATGTATGTTACAACACGTCGCCAACATGCATTCAGTATGTACATGAGAATACTAGCTGGCGGTCAGGGCCGAGGAGGTGGCTCTGGGGTTTCTCGCTCAGGCTTGAACGTACTGCCCTGGGAAGAAAGAAAGGGTTAGAGTAAAAATATAATATAAAAACTAGAAAAATAATATAAGTATTGATAATATATTGGATTTAAATGAAACTAATATTTTTATGATATACTAATAGATGTGAATGTCTGTTTTGGTCTTGTTGTTACAACATCTCGTCTGCCCGTGATCACGGTTGCTGTAAAGTAACCGAAACTTCGGGAGTATATAGTTTAAGTAATAAAGCAGACGTAGTATATCCGAAAAATATTAGTTTTATTTAAATGAATAAAACTCGCGAAAATCTTAGATCTCATAACATATTGGATGAATAAAAGTTCTATTGTAAACTTAGATTATAAAAGGTTAGTCTAATAAATTTTGCATAATGATTAAGATACGAATAAGAATTTTATTGGTGAATTTCGTATCGGATTTTAATATGTATATATTCTATTCACCTGGAATCCTAAAGCTGCTTCCAGCGCTGTGGTGGCGTGTTCCAGCTGATGCAGGTCTGGTGTCAGCGTGGCGTAGTCCCCACACCTGGAGCGACCGCCCTCGATGGTGGCGTATGTATTGTCCACCTTCATACAACAAACGAAATATTTAACATATTTTTTATAAGTAGTGTTTCTGATGACTCGTTTATGACTAAATATGTCTGTAATTTTGTCTTTTTATCACATTTCTTTTTAATGAATATACACCTAAGTCTGTTTTTACACGGTCTTTTTGTACACGGTTTTGATATAACACGGTTTGAAAATTGAATATTTTTAATTTTTTTACACGATTTTATTCCATTTAGCACGATTTGAAATTTTATGTACTTAAATTTTTTTTGTCAAATTTAATTTTTGCGAAGTATGTTCATATCACAAAAAAGTATTTATGAAAGAAAAAAGTCTGAAACCATCGATAGTATCGATAGTTTGCGAACACTAGCTTAAAGATTTAAGTTAATTCCCCTTTACCTATTCTTTTCGTTCACAACATAGTTTTTTAGTTCCTGAACTTGCCATACATTTAATTTATATTACTTTTAAGATTAGAATGCATATCTTTTTTATCATTAATTCTTGTTTTTCACTAATTTTAATAGGTTTTAGAGATTAGGAACAAATCACCCATTTTTGTATAAGATCAATGTCTTTTTTTACACGGTTTTTTTACACGGCTTCTTCTGGAACCAATCTACCGTGTAAAAACAGACTTAGGTGTATATAAGTTAAATAGAAGCTATTTAATAAGTTATTTTAACATGAACTAATGAAAACCAAAATAACATTTCTTTATGAAATATGTATTTAAATTAAATAACATCAAAGCTATGAATTCTTTCTATAACTGATATGGGATTCCAATGAAATTGGTAAAGAAAATGGTTAATTTTTATCTGTCAACTCAATTAATTATTCATAATAAATTATCCAAAAAATAAATTAAAATTATATGAAATAAGAATTAAAAACATTGTTAATATCAACAATTTTCATTTTACTCAGAAGTTGTTTATAATCTTGAGAAAATTATCATCATATATATAAAATAGTCAAAAATCATGTAACAGTGATTATTTCTTATAAGATGAGAGAAAACCTCTTATCATTCAATGTATTCATATGCGTGTGTCAGGTCCATCGTTGTAGTGAGAGGATCTTCAACAGTGACTGGGACTTGTGACCCAGGTGTAGGTTTAAGGGGCTCCTATCTATCATTAAACGCTCACCTCCACTATCCAAGCTCCTCTCTACCTAACCATATCATCATTATACCAACCACTGGATTCTGTTCCTGTATATGTTCTTGTGTATCTCCGAACACGTTCATAGTCAGCTCCTGTTCTTCGTAAGGCCTGAGCTTGGTTTCCAGCCACAGCGGGTTTTCGGTGGTGCTGAGTTCCTCCAAGATCCTTCTCCTCGCCAAGCTATCTCCCTTGCTGGATTGCAGCGACGGCGGTGGCACCACCCTAGAATAAGTCGCCCTATAAATACGCTTTCTATTAGATATTAAGAGAGACATACTTAAGAGAAGAGCAATAGATTATTAATAATAGATAGAGACATGAGATTCTAATTAAAGTTTCCTATATAATTAATATCTTCTTCTTCTTCTTCTACCTGGCAATTTCCTAGCTTTAGCCAGTGTCTACCTTAAATGTTGTGAATAGTTTTGGCTATGTAATTGTTTTTACGACTGGCTGCCTGCCTGACATCGACCCTCTTTTTGGGAATCAGCATTAAACAATTATGTCTAAATACTCTCAGAAAGTTCATATGACTCAGAAAAATCACATTGGTACTTGCCAGGATCGAACCCGCGCCCTCATGTATGAGAAGCGGGCTTTTTAACCACTAGACCACTAATTCCTTTATAATTAATATAATTAAAAAAAAACTCAGTAAGTTATCTACATACAACAAGTCGAAGACATCCATACAATCAGATCAAATAAGGGCTCTATTTAATACCTTTATGAATGTTTGTGAAACAAAACACACGTAATTTAATGTAATTGTTACCGCTGTCAGTGCCTTAACATTAGAAGATCACTGAAAATCAGTATAGAAGCAACATTGCTTCTATTTTTCACTAAGTGGTTCTCTTTTTGGTTAAATTACACTGCTGCACACTTGTAATGGTTGTTATTGATTTTTTTACTTAATATTTGTCCTGTTGTAGTTGTTATGTTATTTTATTTTCCTTTTTTATATACATGTGATAAGTGTTACTCTGTTTTTATTTTGTTGTTTGTTTTGTAGTGGTGTAATCTTTTAACCAATAAAATTTATTATTATTATTTATTAATATTCAGTGACATACCAGTGTTTAAGACATGCGCAGACAACGATGAATGTCACGATGCCAGTGAACAGCACTATCAGCAGCGCTATCAGTGCTGCTAGCGCTGGGTCGAAGCTGTCGGGCGCTGGAAATATAACATACACATTATATGTACGTTTGAAACTAATTTATGGACAATAATGCCAGAAAACGGCTATATTATGGACAATATGAAAGAGATTGAGAGTTATATTAAAAATGTAGCTGAGATCTAAAACTTTTTAAGAACGCGAGTATTCATTAAAATAAAACTAATATATTTCAGATTACTACGCGTTTTTTATTATTCTAAGAAATTACGTTTCAGTTACTTTTCATAAACTGTTATCACGGATAGACGAGATATGTATGGAGTGTAGTTTCTTAAAATATTAGTACGCGTAGTAATTCGAAAATCGAAAATCTCTTTCTATCGTCAATCACGGAACATTATTCACCAGCTGATCGCAAAATGTTTATGTTATAGACGTCAATATGAATTATTTATTATTTCATTTATTTATTTATTTATTACAATTATGTTGGTATTTTTTTACATTTATATCTAAGTTTTCAGTGTCTCATAAACCAGTATTGGTTTTTCCCTACACTGGAAAGAGAAATAGTTGTATAGAAAATATAGCTGTCTCTTTCTAACGTCACTTTCACCGATTCACCAGCCGATGTCTAATATAATATAAATTTTACATATTTTTGGGTATAGTGCAAATACTCTTACCTACCACTGGATAATTCGGTGTATTTACATTGGACGCAGATTATCAGAAGAAAGTTTGAGTTTAAATATTTTCTAAATCAACGATTTCTATGGTAATTTTGTCACAATTAATAATTATTTAGTATTTAATTTATTAGTACACGGAATTATCCAATGGTGGTTACCTGGGTTTGCACTATACCCGACTATATATATCATCATCATCATCAGACTATCAGAGCCCACTGCTGAGCAAAGGCTCTTCTCACAGGAAAAAGGTTTGAGCATTAATCAACACGCTTGCTCAAGACGGGTTGGTCATTTCAAACTTATAATTGTGAAACTATAAGTCCATGTTTCCTCACGATGTTTTCCTTCACCGTATGTCAGTGGTGTCTAAATACTCTCAGAAAGTACATATGACTCCGAAAAATCACATTGGTACTTGCCAGGTTTGAACCCGCGCCCTCGGCAACGAGAGGCGGGCCCCTTAACCACTAGGCTACCACGTATAATATATATACTGTATATACCTTTATCTCCAGAAGCAGCAGCTGTAAGTGTCTCTACTCCATACTCCTGGTACAGCTGTCGCAGCGCGTCGTACTGAGCGTCTATATCCTCCAGCACTCGGCGGACGTCCAACACCTGGAAGGTAACGGGGTCCACAGCGTGCAGCTGGAGCTCACACCTGGAAATAGAAATCATATTAGGAACTACTAGTTTGAATATAGAACTACTGATTTGAATATAGAACTACTAATTTGAATATAGAACGTTGATTGTTGTTCAAATATTTCATTTAAACATCAGTAAATGATATATAACAAGCTCGTAATAAAAATATTTAAAGATTGTTGAAACTTCAATTAGCTATTTGAAGCTGTTGAACTTTTAATTGGTTGTGCACTTAGTACGTAGAATCTCTATACATTATCACTGCATCATATTTGTATTTCAATAACTTATATCACCTAATTGAGAGTCTGCCGCTATGGTTATATTATCTTTTTTTTTATTCAAAAGAGGCAAACGAGCTGACGGCAACATTTCTTATGTCGCGGATGTGTAGCCTTATTCCACCCTTATTCGTGGAAGAGGGAGAGATAAGGATGGGAACAGAAAGGGCAACCGGCTCTTTCACTCAGCCAACGAAATTCACTTCGATCTTTGATGAGAGGGTGTCACTTCTCCGGTAGTAACTTAACCATCACTAGGCTTTGCCATCTCACAAAACCTCTCTTCACAATATAATTATAATATACAATACTAGAAGTGTACATATCATTACCATCTTCCATCCCCAGCGGTGTGCACGGCGGCCTTCCTCCCCGGGACGAGCAGCGCCCGGGCGGCAGCGGACAGGCGGGTGTGAGGCGCACCTGCTGACGAACACGGCCGAGACACGACCAGACGCAGGAGGGACGAACGATCGATGATCCAGATCTGACGGAATATATGTTAAAGGTGATGAGATATGATGAGTGGAGGATACAGTATTCTTTCGCCGGTTCTTCTCAGGTCAGGGTATTTTCTTTTCCGAACCGGTGGTAGTATCTCAAGTGACCATCAATAAGGAAGTGTAATGCTTCTATATTGAATAAAGTTATTTGAGTTTGAGTATAGTGTCCCATTAATATAAATAAAACTGAAATTGTAGGATGTACAATACGTTTTTTATGTGGTCACAGCTGGTGAAAAGTAACCGAAACGTAGGAAATATGTAGTTTAAAATAATAAATAAATCGTAGTATACTGACGTATATTATATGTTAATAAAGGTGATGAGATATGATGATTGGAGGATACAGTATAGTCTCATCATTCATATGAATTGGATAAATAGAACTGATATTGTTTAATGATCTACACGTTTCTTATGTGGTCATAGTTGGTGCACAGTTAACGAAACGTGGGAAGTATGTAGTTTAATAATAAAAAAATCGTTAGTTTTATTTATATGAATACTCGATAAAGTTTTAGATCTCATCAAACAACTATACATATTTTTTTATAATTATGCAATAAATTATATTACTCGTCATACAAGATAATACTATAATCAGTTATCCATATAGGAATACATCTAGTATATATATGTATAAATATATATATGTATATACATAGTGTGTGTTCATATGACTACTCACATAGACCTGCGCCGTGTCTCGTCGGTGAGGAGGCGCCAGCTCCTGGGCGATCACGTCCAACACGAACCGGTCCTGGCGGTAGTCTGACATCAGGGTGGCTGTTGTTAATACACCTGGAACATATATATATATATATATATATATATATATATATAAACATTGTGATATTATCTATCCTTCTATGTAGCAATTAGCCAGGATCTGCCTTACATGTTGTGAATACTTTTGGCTAACTGTTTTTACGACCGGCCGCCTGCCTCACATCAACCCCCTTTTGGGAATAGGGGATATTAATATCTATATTTATATATAAAAGATAATTGTGTTCGTTACACTATTTATAACTCGACAATGGCTATAGGGATATGGTTGCTAATTGAAGACGGACATAGGATATTTAATTCTGTTCGTTCGAAAAAGGAAAAAATAATAATAAATTCAGACATCTGGTTATTTCTGGTCTCTAAGGCGGAATAGAGTTTGCCCGGTCAGCTATAACTAATTTTAATTCCAAAATCAACGCGTACGAAATCACGTGCAACAAATATTATAAATTAATTTACATCAAAATATGTATAATCATTATCAAATTAAATAATGGTATGTTTTATCTAGGGCATTACTAATAAAGGTATGATATATAATATAAAAGTATGATATATAATATAATATAACCTACCGTCTTGTGTAATATTGAATGGTGAAGGAACAACGCTGCCACTTGAAGTGGTGGAACCGAACTTATATAAGTGAGAGGCTGCTACTGCTAGTAGTAAGGAACCATTCACACCTAGGTCAGGGTCACGAACTACTAGAGACGTGATCACCTCGCCCACACGACCACCCGGAGATACACCTGGTGGATAATATACACCATATTAATAAACATTGAGATAAAGGTATTAAAAAATCTAGATATTAGACAAACTCAGTAGTTAAACGTCAATAGCCTATCAGAGCCCACTGCTGAGAATCTTCTCACATGGAGAAGGTTCGAGCATTAACCACGCTCAAGACGGGTTGGTGATTTCAGACTTATAATTGATATTATAAGTCCATGTTTTCTCACGATGTTTTCCTTCATCAGAAATCCTTTAGAAAGTACATATGACTCGGAAAAATCACATTGGTACTTGCCAGGATGGAACCCGCGCCCTCGTACATGAGATACAGGCCTTTAATCACTAGGCCACCACTGATCAAATGATATTTAATAGTTTTCAGTAAACCATATATTTCTAGCGCTAATATAATCTATCCTCACCCGCATAGTATATTTTTTGTTCAAATTTCGGTTCATTATCATTTTCATCGAGTATTCTGATCTTAATGGTGGTGACGCTCACGTCTTGACTTTCCGTGCTATTGTCTATGGAGTTCAAGATGGCCGCCGCGTGTTCTAGTATCGGGTTGTTGCTGGCGTATACTGTCATGGAATATTCGTCTTGTTTTTCCCTGTAAAACATTCAAGAAATCAAATAACTGCAACGCTCAATACTTAATTATAGACAAATAAAGTAAGTACCATTGGATAATTCCGCGATCTGCATTGGAAGCAATTAAGGTACTTATTCACAGTGAGCAATTATTTAATGTATTATTATTTACTGTGATAAAATTACCTTAAAAGTCGTTAATTTAGAAAATATTTAAACTTAAACTGTCTTTTGATAATCTGCTTCTAATGTAGATACGCGGGATTATCTAATGACAGTTACACGGATTTGCACTATAACCGACTATATATGATTATAATAGATTAAAAATGTATGTATTATTAAAATCTATATATAATTTGTTTCTAACCTGTCAAAGCTCATGCTGGTCCTTATGATGCCCTGGGTCCTATCCAGAGTGAAGGCTCCATCCTGGTTTCCCTCCAGTATATGATAGTACACCTTCCCGTTGTCTCCTCTATCTTTGTCTATAGCCTTCACAGTGCCTGGAAATATATAAAAGATTATATAAATTACTAAAAACCTAATTATTATGAAAATTAATAAATGGATAGTAAGTAGAGAAAATAAATATATAAATGGAAACTAAAAGTCATTACATTATGTGAGATACATGACTTCTTACATATATAATTCAATTTATAATTTCTGAGAAGATATAACCTATATATTTTTCTGAATGTCAAGCCACAGTACTGAAAAGTTACATTAAAACCAGTTCAATCCCTACTAATATTATAAATGCGAAAGTAACTCTGTCTGTCTGTCTGTCTGTCTGTCTGCTACGCTTTCACGCCTAAACCACTGAACTGATTTTAATGAAATTCGGTACAGAGATAGAGTTGACCTTGAGAAAGAACATAGGATAGTTTTTATCCCAGACTTTTGAAAGGTTCTCTTGGAAACGCGATATAACCGAACTCCACGCGGCGAAGCTGCGGGCGGAAAGCTAGTATGTTTTATAAGCACGATCACCAAGCATTCATACATCCTCACATTTTGTAGGATTACAACAAAAAAAGTATAAGTTTTAATACTATAATATTTCCTTTGTTACTCTCTCTTGGTGCCTTACATGTTGTGAATAGTTTTGGCTAATAGTTTTTACGACCGGCCGCCTGCCTGACATCAATCCTCTTTTGGGAATGCATTAATCAGTGATGTCTAAACACTCTTAGAAAGTACATATGACTAGGAAAAATCACATTGGTACTTGTAATGTTACAATATTATGAGATAAAGATATTTCCTTTGTTACTAACCCACTATAACGCCTGATGGTAAGTTCTCTGTCACACTAAAGTGGTAGTGTCTGTGTATAAAGGCAGGCGCGTGGTCTTGGTCGTCTACAACTACTAGTTGTAGCACCCGGAGACTCTCGAACTGACTTGGAGTACCACCGTCTGACGCTGACACGATCAACTGGAATCATAAAGATTAAGTGTTGAGATACACTCAATGGTATAAATATGATCATCATCGTCATCATCAGCCTATCAGAGCCCACTATTGAGCAAAGGCCTCTTCTTACACGGTACATATAATATATATATTTGCAAGCAAGCAAAATAAATATTAAATAAACATAAAAATGAGTGTTATTCTGCAGTTCGATAAGATAGTCGCCTGAACCGATTTTAATGCTATTGAATCAAAAAGTAGACGGAATCTTGGAAAAGGAAGTACTAAAATATGACTTCTTAGTTCCATAACTGATATGGATGGTGAAGAAATTACAAATATGTATATTAATTATACAGGGTGACTGGTGAATTACTATCAATATTTAAGGAGCATACTCGGTACATGATTCTCATTCGAATTATGTAAAAAAAATAGGTACTTAATTTTTGACCAAATTTCCGTATAAATAAATAAAGTGTGTACACGTTCCAAGTGTTCCAAGTGTGGGGGCGTGCGGCGGCGTGCTGATACAACACTACGCCGCCGCCGCGTCTGTGTGAGTGTGTGTGTATACCTAATCTGTAGGGTGTTCATACGATGCGTAATTAATTACACAACTTTTGGTTAACTTTACTTAGAAGTTTATTAATATTTATGTTATATTAATTTTTATTTTGTCATATATGACCGTCAATTATCACGTCCTCAAATATCGATAGTAATCCACCAGTCACCCTGTATATATTTAAGAAGTATAGTGTAAGGAAAGAACTATTATTAGATTTTACATTAAAAACCTAGTACCAACACTTTGTAATTGCAAGATTTGCCAATTAAATATAATACATAAACAAAAAAACGACATGACATGAATGACATGACATGACATTCAAATTATGTAACGAATTTTACAATTTATCCTACTAATATTATAATTTCGAAAGTTTGTGAGTGTGTGTATATTTGTTACTTCTTCACACACAAACGGCTGAACCGATTTTGATATAATTTTGTATACAGGAAGCTGACGTCCAGGGATAACACAAAGGCTACTTTACATCCCGGAAATCTTGGAAATCCGCGGGTAACACCGTGGGGCGCAGCTAGTTAATAATAATGTTTATTCCAGTGGTTACCTGGTACTCCACTTGGTTGTCAATATCCAAAGGAACCCTGGTTGTGAGTTGTCCAGTCACAGGATCTAAACTGAACTCCTCGGTGTGTCCAACGTTCTGGTTGTCAACTTTAAGATGGTACGTCACTCGGCCGTTCTCTCCTGAATCCTCGTCCGTCACTTGAATAGTCGTTACTAGGTAACCAGCTTGAGCTGAATGCTGAAACATGTATAAAAGAATAAGACTTAGATTAGGAAATATTAAAAGAGATTCAATGTAGGTGGTAACTATTATAGATAGTGTATAGGAATAAGAAGCACTAATAATAATAGTAGTGATTATTATTATAGGTAAGGTCATAATTAAATAAATCTTTAAATAAGATAATATGACAAAAAAAGTCACCATTTAAGCCTTGTATCCGGAATATTTATGTTGTTTTACTTTAGAGAACATAGATAAAAATGTTCATAATGGAAACCTAATAGACGGTACTATCGACTCGAAATTACGGCTAAATATATAGAATGCTTAATTCGCCAATCAATTTTAACATGTTCCAGGTTCGAATCCTGCTCTAATAGTTCTAATTTAAAATTAAAGTACTGTTACTGATAATAGGTACTAGTAGATGCCCTAACAAGTATGTACTGTTAAACTAAATCGTGAGCAGATCAATTTAATCACTCCTATAAGCACATGTTGATAAAATCACTAAATCACTAGGAATATATATGATAACTGAAAACAGTCCGTATACAGTTTGTAGTAAGTAAGCTACAAGAACATGTCCTCACCGCGGGTATTTCGATCCTCCTGACATCTAGCGGCGGCTGTACGAACACTGGGCTGTGTTTATTAACGCTCAATACAGTGATGTCTACACGAGCGGTGTCGTTGTGAGTACCGTCACTAGCCGCTACCACCAATCGATAGAGGGCGCCACCTACCACCGGCTTGACGGGAGATAAGATGCCCGTCTGGGGATCCACACGGAAAACACCTGGGAATAGATAATGATCCTACTATTATTATAATTGCGAAAGTTTCTGAGTATATATGTTTGTTACTTCTTCACGCTCAAACGGCTGAACCGATTTTGATAAAATTTTATATACAGGAAGCTGACGTCCAGGAATAACACATAGGCTACTTTACATCCCGGAAATCCGCGGGTAACACCGCGGGGTGCAGCTAGTTGTATATAAACTACAGTTCATATTTTTATTGTCATGTTCATGATATAGAGAGAAATAAATTAAAAAGTTTTACTATACAATACAATATTACAACTACTGACGGCGCTCATAGATTTAAAGTAATTTAAGTCTTAAATAAATTATTTTCTTTTTCATATCTGTTGTATTCTCACTATTATTGCTAAGTTTTGAATGAATTGAATGAATTATTTGAAGCATTATTACAAGGCTCTTTATGAGTCACGGTTACTTGATTTTATTTTATTTTATTTATTAAGGCACAAACAGTTCATAATACACTTAAATTATAAATAAGATTACAAAAACATACACCAATGGAGCTGCCACAAATAAAAAATATGATGTCACATATATATCTTTTGATTTGTGTGATCATACAACCTTTTGAAGGTCAAAATTAATATTGTATGTACCTGGTTCACTCTGTTCCTCAATACTATATGTTACGGTTCCGTACACGCCCTGGTCGGGATCTTCCGCCCTAAGCTGCAGTAGGGCGGGCGGCGGACTCAGAGGAACGTTCTCTGATACACTGCCTTTATAAACACGCTGACTGAACACCGGCGGGTTGTCGTTTATGTCGGTTAAGATCACGTGAACCTGGAAACAACAGCAATGTATTATAGAAATATATTATCACAGATATAGTATATCTATTTATATAACAATAATTTAAATATATACAAATTATATAAGGACTATATAGAGTGATATATATATTTTCTCAAAGAATAAGATTAGTTAGAATAAGACTAGTATTATTGCGTGACCTGTTACTTTTTATGCTCCTTAATAAGGATTTATTTTGTATTGTTGTTACTGTATTCATTTGTTAGTTATTGTAAAAGTGGAAGTGAATAAAGATAAAATTATAATACTGTTCGTACCGGCACACTGGAAGATTTTTTAGTCTGTGGCGGCGCGTTATCTGTGGCGACCACACGGAACCACAACTCCGAGGTGGCTTCTCTATCAATATCCGCTCCTTCTGCCACTGTGACCTCTCCCTCCTGATTGATGGTGAACAGGCTGGCTGATTCACCGGACAGACTGTAGGTTATCTTGCCGAAATCACCTGAAAACGAATTTATTAAAATAAATACAAAGCCATATAATAAGGTTTTTTTTTAAAACTAATATTTCTCGGATGTATTACGCGACTTTATATTTTATAAAAAACTACACACCGAAATGTCGGCTACTTTTCAGCAACCTTGATCACGGGCAGACGAGATGTAGCCGAAACGTCGGGAGTATGTAGTTTTTTATCAAAAATAAAGTAGCATAGTATAATCCGAAATGATTAGTTTCATTAGATGAGTATAACTCGCGAAAATCTTAGATCTCATTAATAGGGGTTTTTGTTTGCATTATGACTTATTTTGTAGGAACATGACTTTTCCGAGCAATCAAGGCTTTAGAATCAGGAATTTAAGCAAAAATACTTTATCAAAGCTCAAAGAAAGTGATATTTAGATAGTATACAACGATATATGTATACTCGACAATGATGAAATATCGTGGCTTATAGTATTAGTAATTAACGTTTAATCATATAAAGATAAAGAGATTTTAATAATTTTGACCAATAAGTTAATACGTTTTTAATATAATGTAATAAATGATTTATAAACTTCCTAATATTTGCATGCTGTATCTGGCTTAAAAGATAATGTATTTAGAATTAAGCTACACTGTATTTCTTTTTACCCAATATTGTATTAATGTAATTATCACTGGTGGATCTTAAATAAAATATATAAAAAAAACTTCACCTGCATCCAGGTCTACAGCAGTCACATTCAGTACCCTGGTTCCAGGTGTTGAATGTTCCTCTAGCGTCGCGTTATACACATCATCACTGAACACGGGTTTCTCATCGTTAATATTAATGATCTCCACGAACACGGCAGCCGATGAAGATAGTTGAGGGACGCCCGAGTCGTGCGCTACCAGCGTGAAGTTGAGGGACGGAGTGGCTTCATAGTCTATACGACTAGATACTCTCACCTCACCTATGAAATAATACAAGCTAATAATGATACAAAATCATAAAATATTGAGCTAAAATCTCTGAATACTTCACATAAGGCAAGTTCGGAACATATAACAAATATTCGAGTGTTTCGAACAAGTAAGATCAAGTGATGACAATTCAATTACAGATAAATTTTGTCATTAAATTGGAATTGGCACTGTTGGATTCAGAGCATTCCTCTTTAAGTAATTTAAGAAAAGCTTGAACAAACAGACATACAAAAATGTTCAAAACATTAATTTTGATGAACCCACAGTATGTACTATTATATATGTTTAATTGAAAGCTATTAATTATAATTTGAAATCACAAACAGGTGTTACATTTGTATTCATTAGTACACTCTATACTTCATACAATAAATTTCTTTATTTAATTACAATTGAATTTTCTACATAATGGCGCTAGAAAATTCATACAATATAAAACTATTTTCATAAGAAAGACATATAAAATAGACATTAGTACTAATTAAATCTATCATATCTTTATATGTCACTGAACTTCTCTCAAACGACTGGACCGATTTTGATGAAATTTTTTGTGTGTGTTCAAGGGGATCTGGGAATGGTTTAGATTCACAATTTTGTCCGCTGGACAATGTTTTTTTAATTAATTTTTAAATTATTAGTAGTTGTTGATACAAACGGTTTTTTTTGGACATTAGATTTGAAAACTAACTAATATGTCAATCATTCTGTCGCACTTCAGACCATGGAGATTTATGGCTTTAACTCCAAAAATATAAATAAAAAAACGTAACAGATATTTCTTGATTATAGGGCGATACGAAGTTCGCCGGGTAGTAGTAATATACAGGGTGACTGGTGAATTACTATCAATATTTAAGGAGCATACTCGGTACATGATTCTCATTCGAATTATGTAAAAAAAATAGGTACTTAATTTTTGACCGAATTTCCGTATAAATAAATAAAGTTTGGACACGTACTCAGCCTTGCCGGCGCCAGTGTGTCGCTACTCCCCAACCCCCGCCCCGTGGCTAGCGGGCCATTAGTCGGCTATTAGTCGCGCGAGCGCCGCCGTAAGGTCCGTACGTTCGTCTTCCCGCGCGCGCGCCTAGCGATCGATCTTACGCGTATACCTAATAATAATCTGTCGTGTGTGCGTGTGACCCGTTATTACTTATTAGTAATTAAATATGGCTTTTCAATACACAAATGCAGAATACTTGGACATGGTTCATGCGTATGCGCGTGCAAATGAAAGCTTGCCGGGCGCAATCAATTTGTACCGGGAGATGTTCCCCAATCGTCGAGTACCTACGGCCAGCGTCATCTTAAACGCTAATCAAAGATTACGAGACTTCGGACAGTTCCGTGTTCCGTGTGTAGTTATGTAGGTAAATAGGTAGTTTAATGATTGACAATTGTTGTAAATAAGAATGATTCCATTTTTAAATACGCCGGAAATACCAAGATAGGTAAACAGTTCATATTATTTTTCGTGTCAAGGTCACACCATTTACCTAGTCAATAAATTGGTTGCTTAAACGAAAGAAATATCTTGGTATTTTTGCCTGTCCTAAGCCAGGATTAAAGTATGAAGGGAATTGGATCATTTTTGTTTATCTAAGGTCTAACACGCGGCGGCGCGCGGCGTTTGGATGTAGGTAAACTACCGCGCGATAACTACATATACCTACGTACATAACTGTTTTGTGTCGATAACGCAGCTAGGGTATCCACGCGATCCGTAATTAATTACATAACTTTTGGTTAACTTTACTTAGAAGTTTATTAATATTTATGTTATATTAATTTTTATTTTGTCATATATGATCGTCAACTACCACGTCCTTAAATATTGATAGTAATTCACCAGTCACCCTGTATATTACGTACCAGTAACATTATCTATACGGAAGTACGGGCTAGGCGGGTGTATGGTGATAGATGCGATGGGTGTCTCTTTGTCCGTAGCGCTGTAGGTCGCTAACAGCGTGCCCGGAGGCTGCTCCTCCGCCAGCCGCTCCACGTAGGCCGGCTGAGAGAACACGGGGGGCTGGCGGTTCACGTCCACTATGGTTATTATCAACTCGCCTGAAACAAATATATATTATGAGAACATGTCCAATATATAATGAACTCTATTTAAATAAAATTAAATCCTTCTTTACCGATTGGCACAACACAATTCAATATATTGTACTTATAACATGTCCAATATATAATGAGCTCTAAGATTTCCTCGAGTATTCATTTAAATGATACTAGTACGTCTGGATTACTACGCGTGTTTTATTATTTTAAATGCGTGTTCTCGATGTTTAGGTTACTTTGCAGCAACCGTGATCACGGGCAGACGAGATGTCTATTTAAATAAAAATGTTAAACCATTCTTTACCGATTGGTACAATACTATTTATTGTATTGTACTTGTAACATTACTATAGAGTATAGTCTAAGTACGATTAATATTGTCTATGGTGTGTATTGTGTAATCACTCAATAAATCACGTTTGATAAAGTTCTGCTATTCTTTTAAATATTAATTTTATCAATCTCTAAGATTTCTTAATTTAAATGAAAGTTATATTTTAAGATTAATACGCGTTTTTTATTATTTAACTACATACTCCAGCCGTTTCGGTTACTTTGCAGCAATCGTGATCACGGGCAGACGAGATGTTATAGGAAAAATATTACTTTCATTTAAATGTCTAATATATACATAAGTAACCTGCTTTCATGTATGTATGTGTGTATGTATGTATGTATGTATGTATGTATGTATGTATGTATGTGTGTGTGTGTGTGTACGTCCTCACCGTCAGTAGTCTGCGGTATAGGCGCGGAGGTATCAGTAACAGCCACGGGCAGCGTGACGACCGCGGCCCGGGAGCGATCCGGGCTGTGCGACACGAACACCTCGCCCGAAGGAGAAACTATGAACCACGAAGATATAGTACCGTCATCTATCACCTGAAATACACATACATTGAGGTTAATATAAAGATAATGATTGGATTTTTGATGTTTCTTTTTTATTACGCAAAAACTAAGTCTGTATTAGGCAAAAACTTCTGGAACCATTCACAGTTTTGTAGTTTGGACATCAGGATAACGTAATCTATAGATATAATGCTTGAATTTTCGGACGTTTCTTCTTTATTACGCCAAAACTAATTCTCTATTACTCAACAACTGCTTGTAAAATTTCAGTTTTATAGTTTAGATATCAGGATAACATAATCCACTTATAGCGGAACTTCTTATGACTCCGAGGATCATGTCTAAATATTTGTATTTTGTACAAAATCACCTGTATGATCAAATCTATTTCAATACATTATATTATATATATTTCTCTCTGAGACTACATCAAAATTCCAATCGCACGAAGTCAGAAGCGAAAAGTAGTTAATACATTCGTGTCTAGTATAAATACTACTTTTTTTAATTTTATTATTCAGTATGTACTGTAATAGACACTCAATAAAACGGATTTTTGCTATTATACTCTTGCTATTTAAATAAGGTGCGATACCGTAAACACACTACATAGTGTTGTCAGTCCTGTATGGCCTTTTATTATTTTTAGTTGTTTGTTTGTTATGTTTGTTTCCCCTTTTGTATAGTTGAAGTAGAAAAAAAAGTTGTGTTAGGTTAATAGTAAATACTGTCCTTTTCCATGCCGTGATAACTTTTAATTGAAACAACACTTAGCTAAAAATGTAATTACATTTATTTTAAAACCTATAAATGGTGTATGTTTTGTAAGTTGTCCTTATATAAATAAATAATTTTGTAGGTGGTAGAGCTTAGTTGTGGTCAATTACTACAGCTCGAACATGGGCTGGCTCGACCGGGGAAGTACCACCCTCTCACAGAAGATCGGCGTGAAGTAGTCTTTATGGCTGCGTTTCGTCCGATGAGTGAGAGAGCCGGTTGCCCTTTCCCTATTCCTACCCTTTCCTATCATTTCCTGATTCCCACCCCTCCCTATCCCTAAAAAACAAAGTTGGCAACGCATCCGCAACAAAGATGTTGCGGATGTCCATGGGCGACGGTAACCACCTTCCATCAAGTGGGCCGTCTGCTCGTTTGCCAAGCTTCACATAAAAAAAAATAAATAAATAAATAAATAAATAAATTATAATAGTCACCTCTTGTCCATTAGCATCCACCGCCCTAGCAGGTTTATCTCCACGAGTGAACCTCAAGCCACCAGGTTCAGCGTCAGGGTCCTCAGCCACCAGTTGATACACCAGTGTCCCGGCCTCAGCATCCGCAGATACACCAGCTCTTTGTACCGCGGGTTTAAACACCGGCTTCTTGTCATTCACGTTTAATACATGAACTGTTAGCTCCGTGGTTCCAGTTAAACTGGGCACACCTGGATATAATGAACATTAATAAACATTTGATGGAATATAGTCCTTATGTAAGGGGAATTAAAGTTTAATTTGGATTTTATAGTGAAAAAATTAAATAATAGCTTTTTTTAGCCTCAGTATATCAAATGCTTACGCATCATGACTAAATATGCAGATATAATTGATGTCATAGTGAAAAATATCAATAGACTGTTCTTCTTAGTATCAAACGAGGCTTTCTTCTTCTATTGGCAATTTCCTAGCTTTAGCCAGGGTCTGCCTTACATGTTGTGAATAGTTTTGGCTAATTGTTTTTACGACCGGCCGCCTGCCTGACATCAATCTTCGGGAATTATCAAACGAGACTTTATTATATCAATTGCTTACTTATGTCTAAAGTGTACATAGCTATGTTAAATTATTGTACGGAACCCAGGTTTCAAGTCATACCCATGTCGGTAGCTGTGATGAGGATTTTGTATGTGTTCCTGCGATCATAGTCCAGGCTACCAGCCACACTAACTAGACCCGTGTCCTGGTGTATATTGAAGGCATCCAGAGCTCCCTTCTGTATGTTGTATCTAATCTGAGCGTTCATCCCACTATCTAGATCCGTTGCTTGTACCGCTGCTACTTCCGTCCCTAAAAGAAAAATAAATAAGCACATTATAATAGTCGTTATTGCGTAATAATTATTTTGATCCTGGCAATTACCACTGTGATTTTTTCTAGTCATATGTACTATAAGAGTATTTAGACATCACTGACAGATGAAGGAAAACATCGTGAGGAAACTTGGACTTACAATTTCTAATTATAAGTTAGATATCACCAACCCGTCTTGAGCAAGCGTTGTGATTAATGCTCAAACCTTCTACATGTGAGAAGAGGCTTTTGTTCAACAGTGAGCTCTGATAGGCTGATGATGATATTATAGCTTCTACCTGGCAATTTCCCAGCCATAGCCAGGGTCTGCCTTACATGTTGTGAATAGTTTTGGCTATTTGTTTTTACGACCGGCCCGCCTGCCTGATATCAACCCTTTTTTGGGAATCAGCATTAATCAGTGATGTCTAAATACTCTCAGAAAGTACATATGACTCTGAAAACTCACATTGGTACTTGCCAGGATCCAACCCGCGCCCTCGTGCGTGAGAGGCAGGCATTTTAACCACTAGGCCACCACTGACTTTTTAATGATGATGATATTATATATATGTTTCTAATCAATTTTTTCTTCAGTATAATATATTACCGATAGCAGCGTCTTCTGACACGCTGGCGTCGTAGGTAGTGGTAGCGAAAACGGGCGGGTGGTCATTGACATCACGAACGGTCACCTCCACACGACATGTAGCGTTGAAACGACCGTCTGACGCCTGAATATTATGATTTTTAATGAGTGTACTTGATAATAATAATAATGTTTATTTATCCCAAACACATTACAATTGTATAGACGTTAATATAATCTGATCACAATGCATAAAGGTAAAAGGTATTGTATTATATGTAAATAAAGTCTACTGTCCCTAAGCTAGGTATAAACCTGTGTTTCTGTGTGTGTATGTGAAAGTTCTTCTAAGTCATGTTTTAGTAACACAGTTGTACTAAATTTATATACTAATGAATAGATGATTTAAAAAAATTAGCAATTATATATATAGTAAAGTTTGTGATGGGTGTATAGTAAATGACAAGACCAACGGACAGACATTCATCTCGTCTTCATGATCACGGTTGCTGTAAAGTAACCGAAACGTCGGGAGTATGTAGTTTTCATTTAAAAATAAAAACGCATAGTACTTTCGAAAAATATTAGTTTCATTTGGACACTGACTTTATATATAAAATATATTGCAACGTGATAGATAGCAATAACTTACTATGTGTATATGTGTATTTATATATTTGTGTGTGTAATTACTTACCATGACAGTAAGTATATACTTGTTGTCTGTAGCATCAAGCAGCTTGCCGGGCAGCACAGAAATGCGACCGGAAGTAGGCTCCACCCAGAAGGGAGGGTTGTGAGGAGACACAATGGAGTAGCGGATGTCGGATGTAGGGTCGAGATCACGGGCTTGGACCTGCACGGGAAAATATGGAGAAACATCATTAGCTTAGTTTAAATAAGAATAGCTTAGTTTAAATAAGTATTTATTTAGCATATATAATAAGTATAAATCGTTAATTCCTCTGAGGACAGCACTCACAAGAAATAATGTTGTTATCTGTATTAACTTCAGTCTATACTCGGCTCTTGTCTATGATCACTGCGAACTTGTGAAGAATAAAGTTTGTAGTTTTGTTGAATACAAAATCACAATTTCATTTAACATAATAAGAATCCTATACAAAGCTTAAATTGTTATCATAATGTAATAAATTGATAGACATTCATATAATTACTAGTGTTTGCTCGCGACTTCGTTTTCGATAATTTCGGAATTAGTAATATATTTATAGCTGACCGGGCAAACTATTCCGCCTTAGAGGCCATAAATAACCAGATATTCAAACTTATTGAGTTTTTTTTCGATCAAATAGCATCAAATATCCTATGTCCGTCTCCTGTTTCTTAGCTAACTCCCTACGAATTATCAACCATATCCGTACAGCCGTTCTTGAGTTATAAATAGCGTAACTAACGCAACTCCTTTCAACTGCAATGCTTAGCAATCTATATGTCATGTTTAGTGTATGTCTTCTTCTACCTCGCAATTTTCCAGCTATAGCCAGGGTCTGCCTTACATGTTGCGAATAGTTTTGGCTAATTGTTTTTACGACCGGCCGCCTGCCTGACATCAACCCTCCTTTGGGAATCAACATAAATCAGTGATGTGTAAATACTCTTAGAAAGTACATATGATTCGGAAAAATCACATTGGTACTTGGCCGGACCAGGATCGAAACCGCGCCCTCGTGCATGAGAGGCGGACCCTTTAACCACTAGCCCACCACTGACTTTTAAGTTCAGTGTATGTCTGTATACCTGTAGCTCCGGTTCGAACTTAGTAGCGTCTTCATCGATGGAGGCGCGGTAGACGGGCGTGAGGAACACGGGCGGGTTGTCGTTGGAGTCCCTAACCGATACCTGGAGCGACACCACGCTACTTTGACCTGTACCGTCAGCATCTGTAGCCTGGGGGAGGGGAATAATGATAAAAACTATTTGGGACATGTATTATATGTGTATACTTAATAAAGTCCATGGCGGGAAAATCTTTTTTAAGAATTACTTATACTAGACTATTAACATCAAATACACTTAAAAGTTTTAAGTTGTTCATATGAAGTTAATAATTTGAGAGAATATTGTTATATAAGCCGTTTCACTGTATATCTACATATATGTAATGTTCAAGTTGCCTATGTAAAGTATGTAATAAATATGATGGAACTTCATAATCTATTTAATGATAAAGTCTCATAAAGACAATTCTCTTCTATGTAACGAGTCTCTAACCGGCTGGTGTATTTATAAACTACTAGCTTTCCGCCCGCAGCTTCGCTGGCGTCCAGTTTAGTTATATCGCGTTTCCAAAAAATCTTTTCAAAAGTCTAGGATAAAAGCTATCCTATGTTCTATTTCAAGGTCAACTCTATCTCTGTACCGAATTTCATTAAAATCTATACAGTTGTTTAGGCGTGAAAGCGTAACAAACAGACAGAGTTAGTTTCTCATTTATAATGTTAGTAGGGAGTACCTTATACTGTAAGAAGTATTCCTTCCTCGTTTCGTAGTCTATACAAGGCGCGCTCCCCGGGTGTTCACACTCCGCCACGCTGATGACTCCACTCCTTGGCTCCACAGAGAACAGTTCTGCTCCGTTACCAGACAACTGGTACACTATACCCTCGGTACCGAACCTGAAATTAATGTAACACTCAATATAACATTTGGTTCATACTAATAAATCAAATTGGAATATGTGACTGTTCCGTTTATATACAAAAAACTTGTTCCTATATTTCTTTTATATGATAAAGGGTGCAAATGAGCACCTAACGGAGGTAGTACCGTCGCCTATAGACATCCGCAAAAGTACTTTTGCGAATTCGTTGCCCTTAATTGGGTAGGAAGGAGAATAATGGATTTCAAAAGAGAAAGGGCAGAAAAAGGTGAGAAAGGGGAAAGGCCGACCGGTTCTCTCAGTTATCAGTCGAAACGCAGCTGTTTAGAACAATTCACGTCGATCTTCTGTGAGAGGGTGGTAATTCCCCGTTCAAGCCAGCCTATGTTCCAGTTGCAATAATTTGACCACAGCTAGACCCTACCACCTTCTACAGTAAAACAACGAAATACATTTATTTTGTTATTATTATTATTTATATAAATTAAAAACATTACTTTTCTCGAGTTAAAGAAGCCGCGTACTCGCCCTGTTACACTAATCATAGATATAAAAATAACTCATTTAAAGTCGTCTGATAAAACACAAAAAAAATACACATCACATAGTTAGTATAACACATCCTCAACATCAATCCTACTAATATTATAATTGCGAAAGTTTGTGAGTATGTGTATGTTTGTTACTTCTTCACGCTCAAACGGCTGAACCGATTTTGATAAAATTTTGTATACGGGAAGCTGACGTCCAGGAATAACATATAGGCTACTTTACATCCCGGAAATCCGCGGTTAACACAGCGAGGCGCAATTAGTTATCATGTAAAGGGAGTTTTTATCTATCTCTAACATATCAATCCAATTCTCCCTCACCTCCCCGTATCTCTATCCGTGGCCTTGACCGCCGCCAGCCGTGTCCCGGGCGGCGCGTCCTCTCTCACCCCCGCGGAGTACGCATCATCAGCGAACTCCGGAGAGTTATCATTGACGTCCTTCACCGACACTATCACACTGGCCTTGGACGAGAGGGGTGGGGACGTGTGGACCTCTTCTGCTATAACCTGGAAATAACACAATTCATATATGATTAAATATTCTTTTAATACATATATATTTGGCAAACTATGATATAATACAATACGTTAAAAAAAACTAATACAATACGTTAAATTCGTACTTACTATAGAAAAATGTCTCTTAGTTAATTAAAAGCGTTATTTCATTAAATTTTTGTTAAAAGTGTGATGTCGAACTGTAAATTCATAAATGTTTTGTGTAGTTCTAGTTGAAGTGTAATTCTCATGTAAGTGATAATAATGTCTTAATAGGAATAAATATCTTAAACCATATAATAACTTATAGGAATGTTTGTTGAACTGTAAATGTTATGTACACTGTTTTATAATTAGTAAATGTAATGTATCTTATATATTTGGTATATCCAAGGTTCATTGACCTTTGTTAATTTACCTCCAGAATGAATTTCCTCTGGTTGGGATCTTCATAGTCCAGGGTGGAGTTGAGTCTCAAGGTGACGGTAGCGCTGCCGGTGGCCAGTGAAGGTTCCACCACAAACGCACCCAGGTTGTCAGCTAGTCTTAATGAAAACACCGAATTCATGCCCTGGAAATATACATTTTAGATTAAAATAGACATTTCAAATATATACAAGCTATTTTCTTGAGTTAGCTGAGAATCTATTGGAAGTGGAATGAGTTATATAGTGTTAAATGTCATAGATGCTAATTTATGTCTAGAAGTGAAAACTTAATTGTAATTTCAATCAAAGACGGAGAATTCAGAATTAACCAATTAAATGGAACTGTTGGTATCAATACATTCTAATAATCCAAAAAACATGAATTATCGGATTTGTCCCCTAAAATTTAATTTATAATAAATCTTTTGAAGAATGAATCGTTTTTCATTTGGATTACATAAAAAAGAGCAGTAAAAAAAGGAATTAAATACATCTTTTCTATTATATCTCGCTTAGGTAATAACCTCGATTTGTATAGATTCTTCTTTTAGTTTAAATATATCGAAAAAATTAAAAAAAAAACTACTTCTGCGACCAAATGTAGATTGGAGCTACTAACGAACATTTTCTCGCCTTATTTATATCAGCGTAGATGTAACTTTTTCGAGCTGATAATCTATACAGGGTGACTGGTGAATTACTATCAATATTTAAGGAGAATACTCGGTACATGATTCTCATTCGAATTATGTAAAAAAAATAGGCACTTAATTTTTGACAAAATTTCCGTATAAATAAATAAAGTGTTGACACGTTCCAAGTGTGGACGCGTGCGGCGGCGTGCTGATACAACACCACGCCCCGCTCGCTTATGTGTGAGTGTGAGTGTATACCTAATCTGTAGGGTGTTCACACGATGCGTAATTAATTACATAACTTTTGGTTAACTTTACTTAGAAGTTTATTAATATTTATGTTATATTAATTTTTATTTTGTCATATATGATCGTCAAATATCACGTCCTCAAGTATCGATAGTAATTCACCAGTCACCCTGTATATATATATCCACCTATATAGTGACTCTTCACGATATCTCTGGAACCATAAGGCGAAGCGACTTGAAATTTGATAGGATTATTCCTTTCGCCGAGTAGAGGTTAGTTAAGAACGGTTTTTACGAAATTCCACCCACAAGGGGGGTTGCGTAGTGTAAACAATGAAAAATACGCTTTCACGCCTAAACTACTGAATTGATTTTAATGAAATTTGGTACTGACATGAAGTTGACCTTGAGAAAGAACATAAGATAGTTTTTATCCCAGACTTTTGAAAGGTTCTCTTGGAAACGCGATATAACCGGACTCCACGCGGGAGAAGCTGCGGGCGGAAAGCTAGTAATATATATAGTATTTCCTCCCCAGGTTAGATTTCGTCTGGACCCACTTTAGAACATCTACCTGATGTTCCACTACATGTTTGTAAATGGATCTTTTTCCAGCTTATAATATATAGAGTATATCCTTACCAGGTCCGTATCAGTGACAACCATGTCTAAATGTGGCAGCGGCGTGCCCCGCGCCAAACTCTCTAGCAGTTCTACGGAGTATTCCCGCCGGTTGAACCGAGGAGGCTCATCGTTCACATCACGTATGGTGATAGCCACATAGCCAAGGGTCACACTCGATGGGGAATCCAAAGGAATGCCGTCCACTAACTCAATGGCCTATAGATGCAAGAATTTGTATAAATAATAATAATAATACTATTTATTTGCTCTGAATGGAGGTACAGAATATAGGTGTACAAATAGATTTTAATATAAGTTCCAGGTACATTCTACTATAAGGCATGTAAATATTAGGTTTTAAATTATAAATTAAAATTAGCAAGTTAATCGATGTTATAGAGGGTCCATATGCGGTTAATATGTAGGATATAATACTGTCCCAAAGAATAATAAATAGTTATTGTTATGTAAATTGTTATCTGTTTCGCGAAAAGATCAACAGACTTAAGGGTTAGATCGGATTTAAATACTAGTAATAGCTTTCAGCCTCCTAATATTTTGAATATATATCGAGCAATAGTCACTCTCTGACGCCTATTTTTTATGTAATCTTGTCAATGTCCAATCTAAAAGCTTGTATGCTAGAGCATACAAGCTTTATCTTATATTACAAGCTTCCATCTCTTAAATATATATTTTGTATACATTTTCGGTGACGTCACAATGATGACGTCACTAGGTATAGGACATTTAATTCTTAGATTATCTTCTATCATAATACTCTCTGCTACTAAACGGTTCTTAGTTTTAATAAATAATAAGTATATAATACTGACTTACTTTAACAGTAATATTGAGTGGTGAGTTCGGATCAGCCAAGGCTTCTCTGTCCAAAGGTTTAGCAGTTCTCAGTTCACCAGTCTTACTATCCAGTACGAAGTACTCCATTGGGTCTATAACAAAAATTATTTACTTTATGATCACTTATATAAATATATTTACTGTGAACTAATCAATAAATTACATGTAAAGAAAAATATAATTTTCTTCACATGTATAGACAAACACCAAATATTGTTATCTGGGGTTTATTTAAAACTGTATAACGTATCTGTTGCCAAGAAGAGAACTTATAAAATACACAAATTTTATTTTAATTGCGATATTGGAATCGACATTGTTAATTAATAGCTTTAAATATCATTTCTTTTCTTTCACATTGGTATTGTAAATTTTTTATTATGAACCTAGCATAGATTGTAATCTTGGAGGAAGCTTAACAATAAAATCTTTTCTTACAGAGAAACTCATAAATCTTTTAAATGAATACATCATCCAAATCATGATATTATATCTTATGTGTATATATCTATTATGTATCTTATGTATTTATTTGTTTATTCGTCACTAGTACGTACTTGTAACCAGTTCGAGCTTGACGTCTCTCGGTTGCGCCCTGTCTCCATCTTTGGCTTTGATGATGAGTGCGAGGCTGCCCACAGGCGCGTCTTCAGGTAGGGCCGCGCTTAGGGCTCCGCTGAACACCGGCGGAGTGTTCTGAACATCAACTACCTTCACCTCCACTGGAGATGATGAATTAAGAGTCCCATCCTGCAAAAAAAATATTACATGGATAATGATTCATTGACTAATTTGTTTAAATGTATAGGTTTGGTCTTATGTAATTTAAGCGTGAGTACTTTGTGCTTTATTATATAAAAAATAAAATTTGTTTATTTTTGTAACTTATACCTAGATACAACAGATACAGCTAGGGAGCTCCTTTTAAGTAATGGAATTAACTTGTTGTTATATATAAACATACTAAGAAGAATTAGTGATAAAGACTTTGATTACAGTGATGTGCATTAGCAGGAAGGTTATGCCGCTACCTTTGAATTTATAATATTTTTAACCATTGTTTCATGCAGGCTTACATACATTATACATCAGTAGATTTTAAGTTAAAATTGATCCAAGTTTAGATTGTTCTTAGACTTTTCCATATAGATAACATATGTTACGTTAGATTTAAGCTGAGCTTTGCATTTGTGTGAGTGCACACGTATATTGTAGGTGATATGTCAAATTTTTCAATGGAACGTTCTTTTCTCGATTTGAACCGGTTTATACTGCTTTTGGCTTTTAACAAGTTATACTTATTTGATATTTAAACTAAAAAACCCTCGCATTTACGTTAGGTATCTGTTTAAAATATAATAAAATTTGATTTTACTTTTACTTTCACATAAATGCAAAGCTCAGCTAAGTCTCGCGGACTATACATATGTTATAAGAATGCTTTTTTGAGTCTTTAATTAATAATGGTATTAAATATGTACCGTGGCGTGTAACTGGAACTGGTAGAACTGCTTCTCATTGTAATCCAAAGATCTTTTCAATACCAGAGCTCCGGTGAACTCGTTGGCTGTTGAATGGAGACTCACCACCTCGAACAGATCGCACGCTTCTGGCCACTGGAATAATATACAGACATATATAAATATATATCAGGTATGATTCTGTTATTTAGTCTGAGTATAAATGACCAGACAAAAATTTTGCACCATAGGCCACATATTTGGATTACATATTTATACATGTTTATGAAAGCAGTTGTTAAATGTATATTGTATGATAGGCTTAATAATTTTTTCACAATTTCAAATATTAAGATGGTAACAAAACAAGAGAGGTTTCCAAACTTATTTTGTCTACTTCGAGAATTATTTTTTTAGCACCAACATAATTTCAACTATTGTAAAACCAATGTAGCTTATCCTATCTAAATGAAATTCAGCTTCATGTGTCTCTTATAACCCATTTAAACCTGCAATACCTCTTTAGGAAAGGCTGTTCTGACTGAAGATTCATATTTACCTGTTCGTTAGCCACACAGCCCACCTCCAAAGCTTCGCCAACGGAGTCAATGTCCTCAACCGTTATGTTACTCAACACCGTCGTTCCAACGACTTCGTCTTCCGCCACATTGACTTCGTAAGGACTCTAGAAGTTTCGATTGGAAATTATTAGATATATATGTATTATGTACAGTAATAAACAAACGTTTTCCTATATATAATCAAAATGATGGAATTTCTGTAAGATCTACTAGAAATCGCGTCAGGGATTTTTGAGATATAACACATTTGGTAAAGCAAAGAACACAGCAGAAATATTATTATAGCAAAAAATAATCTTATCGCAATCTAAATAACATGAGAAAAATGCAAAATTACTATAATATATTTATAGAGTCAATCGAATTAAGTGAATGAGTAACTTTCTTACATTCTTGAAGAGTGGTGGATTATCATTTTCGTCAACTATGATGACGGTGACGGACTGAGTCTGCACTAGGGTCTGACCTGACGCAGGGTCGCTGTTCTCAAGAGACACGAGGAATTTTATTGTGTCTTCTTTCTGAAACATGAGACAAAACTTCTTAGCATTCAATGTATTCACGGTGCGTGTGTCAGGTCCATCGTTTCAGGGAGAGGAGCTTCAACAGTGACTGGGACTTGCGACCCAGGTGTAGGTTTAAGGGGCCTCCTCCGTCAAAGTTCCTGTCTGTACCTAACCAAATTTAAAAAGAACCTACTAATTGAAAGTACGTTCCAAGAATAAGTTGGTATTAGTTCTGGACAGCCCATTACCTTCTAGTAGATTTTAGAGAGATTTAGCTGTTATACCTCTTGCTCCCACTACTACCACGTACAAATATTGATTAAATATAAATACTAAAAATGTGGGCAGGTCACAAAATGTTACGTGTTAATTACTCTAAGTTCGAATATATCCTTTCGTTACTTATAACGAAAGGATATATTAGTAGTAGTCTTAACTACTTATAATATTTAATATAGTAGTACTCACTTCTCTGTCCAAAGGATGCACAAGAGTCACATTCCCCGTATCTGCATTCACTGCGAATTTGTCCGTGCCGACTAAGCCATATTTTATCTGAAAAAAAAAATTGCTTTTACAAAATGAGACTTAATTGTTTATTGTAAATAATATACATAAAAGGACATCGAATTTAATGCCTTATACTAGATTACTAACGTTAGGACTTAAGACAAATTCCTGTATAGGCATTTGTTTATTAATTATAGGATATACTTCTACGCAAACATAACTCTATTTTATTATGTAATGCTGCTCCCAAGAAAAAATAATCTGGCAAAAATCGAAACTAAATAAATCTACGGTAGAACTGTACATTATAAATTTTTCTGGCAATCTTACTGGTAGTCCTTCAGGGTCGGTCATTCCCTGCAGCGTGTACACCACGTCTCCAACTGGCAGACTCTCAGACAGCGCCAGGTTATCCATATCCTTGGTGAAAACCGGCAGCTTGGATGCCCTGACTGGAATTATTTAAATTTTAGGTTCGATACACCAGAACAACACACCCCTAGCAATTAAATACTTAAGTTAATACTTAATACTATGTACTACTACTATTACTTATTAATACTTAGCTCAAGGTAGAAATATTTAATATTTATGTGAGAGGAAACCACGTCTCATTGATGTCTTCGATTAGACAGCACTGACCTTCAAAGATTTTACCTCCCAAAAAGCTATAAAGTAAGTGATCTTTATTGCCATCACACTACTACTATCAGCAATATGACAGCATTTTTAATTCATACTCTGACTCAAGCCATTCAAGCGGTTAGCGTTCATCTACTAATAATAAGCTTTCACATTCATAAGAAGACGTAAAAGAATACTTTCATTAAAATTTCGTAAACCAATTTACAACATGAAGTCAGAAGTTAAAATCTATACATGATAATTGAAGTAATGAACCTCTTGTTGTAATGGCACACACGATGTATTCAGTCATTTCTTCTTCTTGATAAGTAAAAATTGAATTTTTAGTTAAAGTATTTGACTATAGCTCAGACTTACCATACTGCAAGCAGATAAATGCTGTCCAAAAAATCGGCAACCATTTTGACTTCATATTGCTCGCCTGAAAAAATATACATATAGGTATAAATATATTAAAAACAAAATTATTTAAATAAAACGAAGAAGATACATTCATTATTCATCGAATTTTTTTATAGGTACTTTCATTGTGAAACACTGAAATAAATATATTACCTAATAGCTAATGTAACTGTTTATATATCAATGTGATTTTAAATACAGGTAAGAGTATATAATACTTTTCTTTACATAATCTAACTCCCTATTGACCTTACAGACTCGAATCATCTAGTGTTTATAGGGTACAAGTATAAGACAGAAAGTACCATGTAATTGTGAGGTCAATTAAGCAAGGACGTGGAAATCAGTAACAATTAACCCATTAATATTAAATACACCATAACTGATACAATCTAGTAATATAATATAATTAATGATAATGAGATAAATGTAAAAACTTAACAAATTTATCCTAATTATGTCATATAAAAAATTAAGCCTTTATTTACTTAGAATTAATTTAAATATAATTATTTAATGATAATGGTAAATTATTGTAAAGTAATAAAACTAAATGATTTTAGATCTTTATTATTGTATATACACTACAAGACCCGGCGAACTTCGTATCGCCCTATAATCAAGAAATCTTTGTTACGTTTTTTTATTTATATTTTTGGAGTTTACCTATTAAAGCCATAAATCTCCGTGTTTTGAAGTGCGACAGAATTATTGACATATTAGTTAATTGTCAAATCTAATGTCAAAAAAAACGTTTGTATCAGCAACTACTAATAAATTAAAAATTTATTAAAAAACATTGTCCAGCGGACAAAATTGTGAATCTAAACCATTCCCAGATCCCCTTGAACACACACAAAAAATTTAATAAAAATCGGTCCAGTCGTTTGAGAGAAGTTCAGTGACATACACCCTCACAGAAGAATTATATATATTAAAATATATTAAATGAAACGAATATTTTTCGGATATACTACGAGATTTTTTATTTTTATCAAAAATTACATACACCCGAGTCCCGACGTTTCGTATACGTCGGGACTCGGGAGTACATATGATGTAGTTTGTAACCGAAATGTATCCGGAATGAATACTCCCAAAAGTATTAGATCCCATTACACATACATATGTATTTCATTCAACGAACACATAAACGTTATAGAGTTATTATTGTTAGTATTATTATTTACGCCTAGTTAAATGATAAATTTCAATTGTTCAAAGATTTGACAAATTGGCAGTAAAATATACCACATCGTACAAAATTCATTCCCAAGAGTGTACAACAAAAGACAGTTCCAGATTTATAATCATTATAATAATTTAAAAGTTAAGCTATAAAGTAACCGAAACGTCGGGAGTATGTAGTTTATAATCAAAAATAAAAATCGCGTATGTAGTGTATCCGAAAATATTAGTTTCATTTAAATGAGTACTCGCGAAAATCTTAGATCTTAACATCGTATTTTCTTTATCAAATAATTCATTTCATACGATACTTAATAATATTATTTATAATGACAGTTTTATAAAACTTTCACACATCATTGAAAATATTTCCCATCATATGATTTGATTTTGCCGTGAAACTGTCTTTTCTATAGAATATTAATTTTCAGTATACCTTACTCTGGAAAATGTTAGATTGAAATATAACGGCATTAGGAATTTTGAGGTCTTTATCTATATTAATATTATAAAGCTGAAGAGTTTGTTTTGTTGTGCGGTCAACTGGTGCTCATAATATTAAGTTAAGGTCTTTGTTTTAGTTTTTAAGTTCTTATTTGTCGATTTGGAGTGTAGTAAAGTCATTAAATAATAAGTGTTTGTAAAATTGGAATATTGTTCTGGAAATAAAGTGATTTTATTTAATTTTTTTATTTAAAAGATCTACGAGATACCATGCCGCGCGGCGTATAAGTACCTACTTTCAAATAAATTGTCACAAAAAATCGAAAATTGACGCAGACAAAGTCGTGGGCACCAGCTGTAACTTATAAAACTGAGGTGCAATAATAAAAATGATCAAAATAACTGCTCTACGCGGACGACGTCGCGGGCAGAGCTAGTCATAGATAAGAGGAGAGAATAAAGAGCATTCTAAGATTCTAAGTGGAAGATCATGTTTGTTAAATATTAAACAACATTAAGAAAACCCGTCGCAAAGTAATTAGTTTATTTTTTGAGATTCATAATATCAGTAAACAGCCTATAAGCAAACTATTTATTAGTACATTGTCAATGTCTATTCTTTTTCGTTCTAAAATAAAATCGGCTTTAAAAAGTGATTACCGAATCGAGAATGTTACTTGTTCTTTTATCTTTCTATAACTATTAAAGCATGAAATAACTTTCTAGTAGTAACTAAAAAACCGTTTTATTTTACGTAATAAATGGAAAAGTAGGCTCGACTTCACATTTATTAAGACAATCGAACAATAAAAGTAATTGATTGATTTATAATAATTATAGTTTTATTGACCTCTCATACCGTTTATGCTTGACACTACACACACTTAATATATATACTTCATCATCATCAGCCTATCAGAACCCACTGCTGAGCCAAATCCTGTTCTCACATGGAGAAGGTTTGAGTATTAATCACCACGCTTGCTCAAGACGGCTTGGTGATTTCAAACTTATTATTTGAAATCATAAGTTCAATTTTCCTTCACCGTCCATCAGTGGTGTCTAAATACTCTCAGAAAGTACATGTGACTCGGAAAAATCACATTGGTACTTGCCGGGTTTCGAACCCGCGCCCTTATGCATGAGTGGCGGGCCTTTAACCACTAGGCCACTACGACTTAACACTTAAACCATATATACTTAATACCGTAATTAATAGTTAGTATTTTGTTTACTTTTTATATTTTAACATCAACGGGAACTCCATCAAAGGGCTTCCTTAATTCATTTATATGAAGACAATATATGAATATAAATACTACATTGTCAGCTGTGTGAACTTACTCGAGCCGAGCCTTTCACTTCAATAAACTAAACAGAGCTGTAACGCGATATGCGATAGATGGACCAAAACTTTTGACACGATTTAATAAAAGTTTCACTTCAATATGAATGAATATCAATTTATGTTTCCCGTTTCCAGGGTGTAAGACGTCTACATCCGCAAATTCTATAAAACATTTATTTAACGAGAACTAACGTTAGAGAAATTCTTTTAATTTTTATTAATATTTAAGTATTTAAAATACATCCAGTTGTGTGTTATAACCTGTCATGTGTTAATTCAATGTAAGTATATTTTTTATTTAATGACTTTATTTTTTATATATAATATTATAGGTGGGTTTTTATTTGTAAGCAAAACATAATTAGTTAATGTAAACAAGATGCATCAGGTTAAATTCTGTGTACATACGAAACACGTACACATCATAAAAGAAAAATAATTATATGGAAAAAGTTTTATACGTGTTCTATCTGCATTTCTCATCATGTAATATATTTCATTCAATTGCTACATATTTGTATGTATCTCTCAATCAAATTTGATGCAAATCTAAGTGCTTATTAAGATTATTTTCAAATGTACTGCTTTTTTCACATATCCGTGACATAGTTACTGCTCCCGACTCTGCTTTTATCTGGCCTTTATTTAAAGACATCAAATATAATTGATTTTTATTTTCCCTTCTAGTGAACCCATTTTAATAAACAGAAACATTTTGCATTTATTATACATGATATAATTTTTATTTATTCTAAATTATGTCTTAATTAACATCTTAATATAGCTAAGTTTTTATAATTGACTTTTAATAACAAATATACACGGTTTGAAATGTTTTCTTTCACCTTACCCCTCTTTAGCAATGACAACATATTTTAAATGTATTGTATAACTTAAATTATCAAAGCATTAATTTATTTAAATGTACGGAATGTGCCTGATGATAACGCTTAGTTTACGAGTTGAAGCATAAGTCATAAGGTGGATAAAGCACTACAAAAATCAACAATAATAAATATATTTTAAATTAACAGCTTTTTATAATATAATAAATAAGTGTACATGATGTCTTCGTCAATTGCAATGCAATACTATAATGATGGATATGTATGAGAAACAATACAAAATCCCCGAGGATTTTTGTGCGGCCTCCAGACCAGACATATACAGCTCACTAACGAACTCATTCGAAATAGGTTCTACAACCTACTAAAAGACTTGGACCTGTCCAGAATTCACATTAATTCATTCTTGGAACGTACTTCGAAGGCAGCTCTAGTAGGTTCTTTTCAAATTTGGTTAGGTAGAGAGAGGAACTTGGATGATGAAGGTGAGCGTTTAACGCGTTAGATAGAGACCTCTTAAACCTACACCTGGGTCACAAGTCCCAGTCACTGTTGAAGCTCCTCTCACTACAACAATGGACCCGGCACACGTACCGTGAATACATTGAATGATGAGAGGTTTCGTCTCTGTCAATTCTATCACTGTCCTGTTTGTTCCGGATAATCTCTAGAAATGCTGGATCTACTTGGAGACAAATTTTACTCGCAGATTGATAATTTTGTATGAAAAAAGTAATGCTACTTTTCATCGATTGAGGAAGTTCTCATTTCGACTCTTTTTAGGCTCCTACACCTTCAAATAAAGTAAGATTTTCAAAATTATTTTCTTAATAGAAAGAGTATTATCTTGTAATAGTTCCATTGTCGTCAAGGCGGGGAGGGAGCTGAGGAAGGAGTTCTCGATAAAAAGGAATTCAAACTCGTAAAGATCCCACATCGTCTTACAAAGAAGCTTTGATATGCGGGCAAAGACGCAGGCAATACCTAGTATATAATATTTTTATATAGATTCAAATGCTATTAAAACACATATGTAATATTTATATCATACTAGTCTTCGCCCGCGACTTCGTCCGCGTTAATTTCGTCATCCCTACTAATATTATAAATGCGAAAGTAACTCTGTCTGTCTGTCTGTCTGTCTGTCTGTCTGTCTGTCTGTTACGCTTTCACG